TTCTTCAGATCAAGAAGTCTATGGAGATTCTCAGTCATCTGGGTCATGGTTGCCCCAAAGGTGCTTTTTCAAGAGGCAACTGGACTTTCTGGTTTTTCTTTGAAGAAAAAGTCCAGTTTCTTCTTGAAAAAGCACCTTTGGGACTTCGGATCAACACTGTCGACTTTGTTTGTTAAATAGAGGCCATTCAAAATTAAAGAATGACCAGTAAGATTGGTGGCTTCTTTATCAGAGTTGTATAATGCAATCATCCTGCCACATACCTGGTGTATGTCTCTGTATTGGAGGGGTCTAGATACTATTGCCTTTGTTTTTATTCCATTCTTGGATTTTGTTTTCTGCAAAAACAATTAAGGTGATCTGTTTTCATTAGAGGTGTTTGCTGCTCTCTGTATGGAATTAATCTGCTGTGGTCTCCCAGTGAGATCTTTTATCTTAATCCTTTCTATCCTATTGAGCACAATGGTCATAGAAACCAAGTGTAAAAAAGCAGAAAATAAGGAAATAACTACTGTAGCTGCTCAAACTGGGTAGTGGGGCCATCCTGTTTTCTGCTTCCCTAATTATCCACTTCGGGCTGCATAAATGTAGAAGACCACCAGATGGCAGTAGAAATGAATTTTGTTTATCTCTTTCCTGCTATGATATGATCACCATCCTCCTCTGGCTTAATCTTAAAAGAAGTGGGTTCTTTGTCATGTCACGTTCCTGTTAGCAGGTGCTGAGGTAGTAGCTACCTAGTAGCTTATAAATATGACTTTCCCAAACCTTACACATAGCTTAGGGGTAGACAACTATGGCCCCTTTATGACCTGTCCAGGGGTGCTATTCAGCAGGTTCTGAGAACCGGTAGTGGAAATTTTGAGTAGTTCAGAGAACCAGCAAATACCACCTCTGGCTGGCCCCAGAGTGGGGTGGGAATGGAGATTTTGCAATGTCCTTCCCCTGCCACACCCACCAAGCCATGCCCACAGAACCAGTAGTAAAAAAAAAAAAGAATTCCACCACTGTACCTGTGGACTTCAATTCTCAGAATTCCTGAGCCATGATTGGCTGAGTATGGTTTGCTGAGAAATTCTAGGAGTTGAAGTCCACAGGTCATAAAGGGGCCACAGTTGTTCATCCCTGGCATATCTTTATCCAGGTCACACACACTTCTCACAGGATTTGAACAATTTATCTTCTCTGCCTTGCTACATGCAACAAGAAGATTTCATGGATCCATAAACTGATAAATATGTATGTTACACATGTATGTAATGTGTATGTTACATACACATACATGTATGTAATGTCCTTTATAAAAAGAATCACACAAATATTCAGATTTAATTACCACACCTTTTTGCTTATTAATCCACATCTATGAAATATTCAGAGCAATATTATTAATAAGAAAGCAATAAATAAAGCAACCTTACTATTAAAAAGGTTAAAAGCTGTTGAAATATATGATTCTATAGCTCACCAGTGTCTTTGAGGCCATTACAAATGGCAATTCTTAGGAAAAGAAGAGGAAGAGGAGTTAATTAGAAAATACAGTATAGAACTGTAAAGTTGCAATGTTTCAAAACCATACAACACATTATTACTTACGTAAATTCAAATTAGACTGAAGATAAACAAATTTAAATGTAGCTGTTTAGCCTTTGGGAGAAAACTTAAAATGATGTGCCAAAATGTAAAAACCTGACATACTGGTTAAAGTCAGGTAGATGGCTGTTTTTATAGTTCATTCACGGAGAATTTTGGAGTTTAATTGTAGAAAATAAACAAAAATCAATTAACAGAATAAAGCAAGCATCCATTTCCATTAATGATGCATTACTAATACAATGTGTTGACAGGCATATTTCCTGAATTGGCATTTAACTTACTTTCAAGGTCATCTGGATACCTCATCAGTTTTCTGCAGCCTAGATCAGTTTTAAAATTTTATTGAAAAATTGTTTTTCAAATGTTTTCATTTGAACATCATTGTGTTCTAAAATGTCAAGAACAGAAAAAGTCTTAAATGAAACAGATACTGTAGCAGGGGGTGTTTTTCTTAAGGAAAGGGCTGGCTAATGATACAAACAATGTAGGCTGGTGACCCCCAGGGGGAAAGCCTCCTCTGTGGGGGCACCTACCCTCTGGAATCAGCTGCCTCCAGAGATAAGGAGAATCCAAGACCTCAGTGCCTTCCGCCGTGCCCTTAAAACCCACTTTTTCCAGCAAGCCGGGCTGGCTTAGGAAGAAATTTTTTTAAAATTTTTTAAATGTTTAATTGGTTTGTGGTTTTTTAAATTTTGGGCCAAATTTATATAGATTTTAATTGTTTTTTAATATTTGTATTTCATGTTTTTAATTCTGGCTGTGCACCGCCCTGAGTCCTCAGGGAGAAGGGCGGTATATAAATTGAAAAATAAATAAATAAATAAATAAATAAATAAATAAATAAATAAATAAATAAATAATAAATTTAATAGATGTAAAGTTTAGGGAACCTAAAGTTAAACCTATGAGCTTCACAATCTTAACTCTGTTCCATAGATACAATAAGATGGAAATGGGATACAATGGGATTTTTATAAATTATATAGCCACTAGTGAACAGTGCCTGGTTATTCCAAACTATAATTTCTTTTACTATAGTCTGAACTATTCGTCATTGATTTTAATGCAATTTTGATTTTTTTTTGCTACATTTCTTTCAAGTTTGGTTATTATTATTATATTAGTAGTATAATATTACTAAAACCAGGGGAGGGGGGAATTGGAGCCACAATAATTCTTTGTTAGTCTTCTTTTCAACAATAAGGCAAGGATCCTCAATTTTTATAACTTAAGATGCAATGGACGAAGATCTCAGAATGGGCTCAGCAGACGTTCTTCAGAGATCTGAGTAGATTGGCAAAATCATGAGAGACTGACTATTAGTCATACACACAAAACACTAATGTTAGGGAAGCCAGCTGTAAGTTTCTTAACACGTATGCACATTTATTTATTCATTCCATTTATATTGCCACCCGTTTTGTAAATGTAACTCTATGAAGCCAACAATATTAAAATAAATACAATAAAATATTACTAAGGAATTAGAAAATCAACAATGGTCACAAAACTATTAACAGCGATCTCTCAACTGGCCATCTAACCTGATCAGCAGGGCCTGTAGCACCTCCAGATTAACATTTTATGAAAGATCAGCAGGATCAGGGTTAATGTGATCTCAGGGGACATGATGTTCCAGACATAACAGATTCCAAAAATGCTTAAATATTTTTCCAGCAAGTAACTTGTACTTTATGCTAAAAATGTGGCATTTCTATACTACCATATTTAAGGCCAAAGGATCCTTCTCTCGGGCAGCATGGCATTTTTAATCAGAACTTGTATTTAGAAGACAGGAGAATGGATATCGGAGAAATGTAAGTGCTATCATTCCAAAATGTCTTCCGCATCAAATAATTTAATGAACTTTATGAGGAGGGAAATAATTGGAATCAACCTCCCTAAATGAGTTCTCTATAAAGAAGCTTGGGTATGCTTATGACTTGATTTTTCAGAGCAATGCATATACCTGTCAACACAATTCTTTTGCAAAGGCCACTGTAGGCTTACAAAATAGCATGAGCGCTTTCTGATATTAAAGCGTCTTCCTAAGGCAAGAAGGTACTGTAGCAGTAAAACTCACTAAAATTGAAAACATTCCAGTTTCATTTTTCTAAATACAAGGAACCAATCATCATTTCCTTATTTCATCTTCCAAAGTAAACTCTGAGCAAACATCCTCCACAATCTTATTTGCAACATATGGCTTCTCAAAATATTGGCCCAGTGGTACTTTTTGTATGAACCCTGTTGGTTAAACGGATGTACTGATCTACATTTATGAACGTACCTTTTCTCAGGGATATGAAACAAACATGTTGTTTTCAATAAAAGGGACTGCCATTCTTGGCTACTCTAGCCAAGTCTGCATAAAACTCAAAAGGCTGAGATTTGATCCTTTTTTATAGTCTTCCTGGCCAAACTGGTGATGGTTTCCAGATGTTTGACATAGAAACAATATAAGTGAGACACCAGGGCTGGGCTAGCTGAAAACTATTGGAACTGTCTTCCCATGAATTTCTGCAATAAATATATTTCAACTTCAATAGACCTGAGACAGGAAGAATTCAAACAAATACAGGTAGTCCTCAATTTACAACCACAATCGACGACAGCAATAAAAACAGTACAGGTAGACCTCGACTTACGACCACAATCGAGGCCAAAATTTCAGTTGCTATGCGAGACATTTGTTAAGTGAGTTTTGGCCCACGCTACGACCTCTCTTGCCCCAGTTGTTAAGTGAATCACTGCAGTTGTTAAATTAATAACACGGTTGTTAAGTGAATTTGGCTTCCCCCATTGACTTTGCTGGTGAGAAAGTCGCAAAAGCTGATGACGTACAGCCATCATAAATATGAGGCAGTTGCCAAGCGTCTGAATTTTGACCTCATGGCCATGGGGATGCTGCAATGGTTGAAAAATGGTCATAAGTCCCTTTTTTTCCAGTGCCGTTGTAACTTCAACCGGTCATTAAACAAACTGTTGTATGTCGAGGACATCCTGGGATATTGTTACTGCTTGTTTATTTGGTTTGAAATCTCCCCTTTCCTGTGGAGGGAAGGCTCCCCTTGGCCTGCTATAGCAGAAACAACCTGAGCCGAAAGTTTCAGAGGGAATTTTTTTTCCCCTTTCCTCTATGGAGCTTCTCAGTCATCCAGGTCACGCTTGTCCCAATTTTCAGAAATTGGACTTTCTGGTTTTTCTCTGAAGACGTTTCGCTTCTCATCCAAGAAGCTTCTTCAGCTCTGGAAGAGGTTGAGAGACCTGGCCCTCAGAAGGCCATTTCCCCCTTTCCCTTTTCCTCCCCCCCCCCCCCCCCCCCCACTTTGGCAGTTCCGTGCAGAGTCCCACGGAGTCTCTCCGAGGAGGCGTGGCCTGCGCGAATGGGGAATGAGCCTCCTGAAGCGGACTGAGCCCGCCCTCGGAAGGACCGTCCCGTCCCATCTTGTGCGATTGGGGTTTGTCAACAGCAGAGCTGCCCCCGCTCGCTCTTCGGCGCTAATGCTTAGGAGGGGCGGCGGATCGGTTGCTCTCCCCGCGAGGAGTATTAGGGCCTTAAGAAGCGGCTATTATTGACTTCAAGCCCTCTCCAGCGCCGGAGTCGACGCCCCTCCCGCCGCTGCTGCTCCTCCGCCTCCTCCTTTTCGCCGATCGAGCCTTTGCCGAGAGACGGAGCGACCCAGGATGAGAGCAGCAACCGTAGCAAAGATACGGAGGGTCTTCTCGGGTGGTGCCAGTTAGGTAAGAGCCCCGTCCGAGGAGTAGGGAGATTTCAGATCTCCTGCCGCGCTCTCCTCCCGTTCCTGGAAGTTGGCCTCCTTTGATGGAGTTGATCCGTTCCTCTGGCGCCCTTGGCCGATTCTTCTGCTTTGCGAACCTGACTTTTGTTGTTTGTTTTTCGTCTTCCCCTGTTTTGTTTTTTTTTAAAGTACCAGCCACTCATATGATCCGAGTCACGTGCTTTGTTTCCTGTTGTTTTGTTCCCTGCGCGCTCGCGGAGAGCTGCGGTTGTTGTAGCTGGGTTTGCGGGGACGGCTTCGCTTTCCTGTCTTCTCTTCTCCCTCTCTCTCCCCCCCCCCCCCCGCCTGCTCTGACAGCTTTGGTTGTCCTCGGACATCAGCTCCCACCACACAGTTAGGCAGGACGCATCAAGATCCAGGCGCTGCATTTGCACAACAAGCCATGTTGGGTTAATCTTGGTTACCTGTTATACAGCTTAGCTTATGGTACAAAGTACAAACCCAAACCGTCTGCTTAGCGGCGTAGGCTTCGATGTAATGTATACGATGTATACATCCAGAATTAACTTGGGACTTTACAGTAACCAGCCGCCACTGTCAATCAGTACCTTGCGGTTTACTTTGCCGAGAAGTTTCCGTTTACTAAATTACGAAGAAAAAAAAAAATTCCAAACATGAGTCAAATTGCAACTCTCACATTTGTGATGCCATAAAATATTTATTAAGGTTTGCTCTGCAAAAGACTGTAATAAATTATGCAAAGGCTCCACATTCAAGAAATTTAGATTTGCTGACTTGCCTAGAAATTTTTAGGATACGTTTTTGATTTTGTGTGTGTGTGTGTGTGTGTGTGTGTGTGTGTGTGTGTGTGTGTGTAATTCCTTCACTCTTAAGCAGTTTCCTGTGTTGCATGCAATAAAAGTTACATTACAATAAATTGAAACTTATCACAATGCTACTGTTTAAGAGAACCTCGGAAAGGGCCCAGCCAGACGTATTTTAATACTGTCCCCCAGTCTGCATAAGTCTGCATAAATTGTGTTTCTTCGACACCTGTTAATAAAGCGATCAGTAACGTGGCCAACTAGTAGTCCATCTTTGCAGTGTTAATGCAGGAAAGTTAAGATGAAAGTTTTCTTAAGTGGACTTCCCCTCCCCTGGCATCAGTTGCTGATGGGGAAAACCCATCACCAGTTCTTCTCTTTAATTATGGTCTGGCAAAGTTGGGTGAGTGTGGTGGATGCTTTCAACAGCAGACTCAAGGACCATTGGACTCCTACTCAAAAACAGACCAACTGGCAGGTCACTGGGATGAAAGTGAGATAGCAAGGAAATTACCATAGGTGCCTTTTCTCCCTCTCAATTTGCTCCAGGCTAATAGGCATAGAGGAAGAGGGTGCAATGAAGTCAGAGAGCAGGCCTGAAAAGGAGCAAGCTCTGTCCTGAGTTTGTGCTGCAATGGAATGACACCTCTAAAGCATCCAGAAAGAGCCTGGATGGCAAAGAGACACCATTGTTCCCACAACCAAAGTATCAAAGACAGCAAAACCTACAGCCAGGTTAAACTTTTTGAGGGCAAAAATAGTGGGAAACCTGTAATACATTTACTATGACAGAATAAGCAGCATCCATCTGGCAGAATATTTTCCTTTTCTTCCCCCTGACTTCCCTGGTAATAAACAAATGCCCATCTTAATAGAAAGATGGTTGGAAGCTGGCTTCTTCTCCCAGACTAAATTGATGTTCAGTGCAGCATCTGACTAGCATTTTCTTAAGAGAGCACTTGCTTTTTAAACGCAGGCCTAGCTCTTTCAAAGAATGTTGGAATCATGTTTTAGAAACAGGGTGCTAACCCTGTATTTGTAAGGTTTCCAGATAAGATCTATCAAAATGACTTGGGCAGATACCCGTGCAGAAGCCAGGTGTCCAGGCCCAAGCCAAAATGGCCAGGTAAGGCAGTGCCAGCAGCTAAAAAGGAAAACATGCTCCCAGTATCCTAAACCACTCAACTTTTTTTCTGCATGTATTTGTATACTGTATACCTTCAAGTAATTCCTGATTCCTGGCAACTCCCTAGGCAAGTCCCTGCAGTTTTCTTGGCAAGATTTTTCAGAAGGAAGTAATGTTTGCCATTACTTCCTTCCCAGGGCTGAGAAAGTGACCGGCCCAAGGTCATCCAGCTGTTTTCTAGCCTGATGCCTTAACCAGTATACCAAACTAGCTTTGAAAGTGGTAAAATAGGAACTGAGTTAATGGCTACATCATTAATCGGTATTAAACCACAGATTTTCAGTGTTTTCAGGAATTAGAACCTGTTCATTAATATAAAATTCCTGGAATCAAAAGGATTTGGGGTCCTGAATGTCAGCTTGGCAAGCCCTTTCCTCTGGACTGTAAAAAAGTAGTTAGGGTTGCAAGTTGCTGCATCAAAACAGGAGTAGATGCCTGAGGGCATTAGAAGTTTTCTTCTCCTTTAATCCCTTCCAGAGAATAAAACTACTGTAGAGAACCAAAGGGGGAAAAGGGACTTTCTGCAAGGGACTGAGTGGGAAAAAAACCTTTGAGGCCAATCAATCATTTTTTCCTGGCTTCGGTGCTATTCCTGAGGGAGATCTATAGTGGGTTTTCTAATTGATCAAAATAGGAAAGAAAACCTTCCAAAAAGGAGTAAGCAAAAACAAAACTCACTGCAATAGATGTAAATCTGGCAGAGAGATTATTTTGCCCTATAAAACCTGCAGAACCCACCCTAGGGTTCCATAGAACCCAGTTTGGCACAACCCATACTAGATCACATCCATGAAAAACTATGTTGGGATAGAGGGAGGAGTAAAACTGTAGCCACTAAAGACAGCTTCAAAATGTTTCAGCCCTGGACTTTTTGGCACGAGACAAAAGCAACATTATGAAGATATGTCATGTACAAATGATTCCTGGGACATGTCACCTGGAGTCAAGTCTGACTGGAAGGCACGCCCCGCTCCCAAAGGAAAGGAATTCCAAAAGTTTTCTTTTTCTTATCACATTTGGCAAAAAAAAAAAATTGTTAGGAGAATGTCAGAATCAGCCTCAAATCAGCCAATACAAACCCTGAAAAACAGAGCAGTGCAAGAAAAGAAGAGACAATTTGTCGTAGTGCTTAAGACACCAGGCTAAAAATTGGGAGACCAGGAGTTATAATCCTGCCTTAAGCAAAAAGCCAGTCACCATGGGCCAGTCACTCTTTCTCAGCCTTAGGAAAGAAGCAATGGCAAACCACTCTCTAAAAACCTTGGCAAGAAAACTGCAGGGATTAATCCAGGTAGTTGCCAGGAGTCAAGACAGACTGGAAGGCACATCCTACCCCAAAGGAAAAGAACTTCACAAGTTATTTTTCTTATCAGATTTTGCAAAATATTATCATGGATTGGTAAAAAAAACAAACAGACATGGATAGGCACCTCATCCTCCATGTTTAGGGCAGTCACATTTACAGCTTTTTGCTATTGACTATGCTGACTGTGCAGATAGAAGTCTAGCATGACTAACCCAATCTTGTCTATCACTCAAGGCTTCATTGATAAATTCTATAAATATTATTCTCGAACTCCTACCATCTTCTAGCCCAGCCACTTTGTTGAATACCAGATTAGGAAAACAGTTGTGAACTTGGTGTGATATGTAGCACAGGGGTACCTGAACTCTCTTGTGTTACTGCCACAGTCTCACAGTTCACAATTGGTATGCATGAGTAGACTGTTGCTCATTGGCATGGATTGAGACCTGGTATGTCCCAACTGCCTTGCTAAGCTTCTGGCAAGTCAAGATTAATGGAGTCACCCAGGCATTTGTGACACAAAACCCTTGTTTGCTTTAGTGATTTATCACCTCTCTTATGCCTGAGTGAGCAGTGTGGGAATCTCCTAATTCAATTCTTGATTATGTATTCTGGATGCATCTGTGTCCAACTGGTGGTTGTAGCGTTCATCATGCAAACTGGATAAGGAATGCAAACTATTTGAAATCCGTTGCATGAGTCTGGGGTCACTTCTTTCCTCTTCACACTTGACTTATTTTTATTGTCAATATCACACCATGCATAAATGTTGGCTTCTTGAACCTAGAAATTTAAAAACTTCTTGGAGAAACATTTCACAGTAGAGGTCTCTAGGCATTTGTGGGATTTCTCTAAAAGAAACAGACTCACCTGGTCCTTCAGAACTATAGTGAGCATTAGAATATATGGCAATATAAGCAGTGGATTCGCTGACATTTTTCCATCTTATATTCAGCAAGTGACATATGAGTCTTAACTAACAGCTAACAGCCGTGTCTTAATAGCTTACCGTATGGTGTTGTATTATTTAATACTAGCAGCAGAGTGAAAATGAAATGGCCTTGTACTTCATTAGGAACATCATGTTTTTTTCCCAGGCTACTTGCCTATTTTCCTGCTGTCGCTTCACTCTGAAAACAAAGATTTGTGCTTAGGAATTTGTTAGATGTTAGATAACGAAGATGGAAATGTACAACATTGCAATGCACCCTTTAGATGGAAAATAATTGTACTTTTACTGTGGGTTTTTTTTTTTTTTGCTCTTTTAATTATTATATGGTATATAATTTCCATTACATGTCCATTAATGTCTTTGGAAACATGGTAAGAACATATCTGATATATAAATGGAATATATAAGAAATTGTGGATCTCTCCATCAAAGAAAGTTAAAACTTTCTATAATGGAGGAAAAAAACTATCTCTTCAACAGTAAATCTAACGGACATGGCATGAAATGTATTATTTATGTGTTTTTAATTTTCTGTTTATTGGATATCTGAGATACCAGCTAGATTTATTAAACCACGAGATATCAACATTGGTTGATCTATAGGCAAACCATGGTTCATAAACACAATGGCAGAGATTTTGCAATACTCTACATTACCCAAAGACAGAACCAGTCAAACCACATTATGAGTTGCTATCAGTGCATCAGTCTAGGTATTGTTTAATAAAGTTTCAGTTGCAATTAATTGCCAGGGACATTTTCTCTTATGGTCTAACCTTTTCCTAACATTCAAGTTTGGTCTGAGATATGCAGCATTGTTAATATTACTGTGTTCAATTCTAAGTGTTTGCTGCTCATAAAATTGGAAATGTTCCTTTAGATTCTATTCTTAGCCCTTGACTGTACCTTTATACCAAGTCTTCTAGCATGCAGTGTAGTTAAAAGAATTATAACTCTGGGAAGATAAGCTTACTTGTGATTTAAACCAGTGGAGAAATGTGCTTTCTCTTGTAAAACATGGTTTTTGGATTTTGGTCAACAAATCTTTGTAATAGGCAGTATTTTTTTCTTTCCTTTTAATATGTGTAGCACTGGAAACAAAAAAATGTGTATATGCACTAACATTCTTGAAGCAATGCAAGCAAAATGTTAAGTTACTTTTCTTATCATCATTTGGATAATTGCTGGCAATAGAATCAAATGTTTTGTGTATGTGACTGATGTAGAAAAACCTTTATGGTATAGCTTTCTAACATTTCTCTCTTCGTCACTATTTCCCAGGGGTGGGATAATTTCTGTGCTGAAAGTGATTAAACTCCTGAGTGTGAATAGCTTATGCCATGAAAACATCTATTACTGTGTGAATTGATATAAAGCATCTTCTTTGTGGGGACCACAGAGCATTCACTTGGCTTTCCCTGAATATCTTTCACTTAGAAAAGATGGAAAAAACGGAGTTAAAAATGAATGGATTTTATCTGCCACTCTTATCTCACCAAGGAGAAAGCAAAACCAAAAAGTTTATTCTTTGTGATTGACATTAGATATGTATTTATAACCTCATCCCATTGATAAAACGATGGCTTATTCCGGTATATTTAACTTGCATTACAAAATACCTGTTGGTATTTATCACCACGGCATATTGGGCATGCTGCCTATGTAAAATTGGACCCTTATCAAGTCATTATGGTGTTTGTATAAAGAAGTGCAAATCCCAAAGATGCTTTTTCAAGAGGCAACTGGACTTTCTGATTTTCCTTTGAAGACGTTTCGCTTCTCATCCCAGAAATTCCTTCAGCTCTTAGTGCAAATGCTGGTTCAGTTCAAACTCCAAGACCTTTGATTGCGATAGCCAAAGTAAAGGAGGCCACACCTATTCGCTCACCAATTTCCTGAGGTTTCCTAACCTCACCGAAAGGTACAGCAAATAGAGTTTCATCTTCTTGAAAACTATGTCTCCTTGTTGGTATGAAGCACTGATAATAGTCTGCAATCCGACTCATTTGTGCATACAATGCTATTTTAAGAGTAAAATAATCACCGGCTGTCTTATGGTTGTTTTAAATCTCCAGATAATAATTCTTGCCGCCCAAAATAGGCCCATCGATTAACTACTATGAAGTGCATTGGGCCTTCAGAGGGCCAGAATCTTGCTTTGGTGTTGGAGTATGCTCTAGCAAGAGAAGCAAAGATCTGGAAGGCACCGGTCTTCCAGAACTTCACACTGAAGGTATGTTTTCCTGTGTGAAAAGGTGATCTGTACTGGAGTTTGAGCGTCAAACGAGATTAGAATTGCCCTCGGAATCCCCCAAGCCTAGATTGGTCGTCACATTTTCCCCACGTGCAATGTTTGTTCACAATGATATGCAACAGCTTGTGTATGCTTGCCATCATTACAATAAATTGCATTCTAGAATGAACCTGGGTAAAACCTGTCCTTGAAAACCACCTAGAAACTACAACAGATCCAGAATGTGTTGTGGATTAGTTTTCCAGTTTTAGCTATGTTAACAGTCTGCTGCATAAGCTGCACTGGTTCCTAGTTTACTTCCAGGTGCAATTCAAGATGCTGGTAATTATTTTAAAGCACCATATGACCCACCAGGGTCAGGTTATCTGCCGGGCCATCTCTCCCTAAGGACATCTACCTGTTCTACCAGATCATTTAGGGTGGGCAAAGTCCCAGTTCCTTCCCTTAAACATTGCCATCCCATGGGATCTAGGAAGGGTGTCTTTTCTGTATCAGCCCTTGCCAGTGGTGGGATTCAAGTAATTTAGCAACCGGTTCTCTGCCCTAATGATTTCTTCCAACAACCAGTTTGCCAAACTGCTCAGAAAGCTAACAACTGGTTCTCCTGAAGTGGTGCGAACTGGCTGAATCCCACCACTGGCCCTTGCCCTATGGAACCCCCAACCTCTTGAAATTCAACAGGCCTTCTACCCTCCTAGTCTTCTGTAAAGTACTTAAGGTCCATCTTTCCCCCCCAAGCGCTGGGATAGGGTGAGACGTATGAAAGGATTTAATTAGGATGTAGGAAGTTTAACTTTGGTGCCAAGTTTTTATTGTTTTAATAGATTTATGTTACGTTGCCCTTACTGATGTTGTTTTAATTGTTGATTGGGAGTCAACCAGAGTTCATCACAAGTCGGGCAGATACATACCTGTTTTAAATTAAATAAATAAAAACGTTATATTCTGTTCTTGCTTTTCTTGACCGCATCTATGTATACAATTGTACTTTTCTGGGGAAAGGATCTGTATCTAAATCTCCAAAGATGGGTATTACCATATCCTGATTACGGTGAGCTAGAGAAAAATCTCGGGTATCTTAAAATGCACATGCCCAATTTTTATCATGTACACCCTCTTATTATCAATGGACTCAGAGAGATTCCAAATGATTATACAGGTAGTCCTTGACTTACAACAGTTCATTTAGCATTCAAAGTTACAACGGCACTGGAAAAAGCGACTTATGACCATTTTTCACACTTATAAACGTTGCAGCATCCCCATGGACATATAGATTACATTTGGATGCTTGACAACTGACTCACATTTATGACGGTTGCAGTGTCCCAGAGTCATGTGATCCTCTTTTACGACTTCCTGAAAAGGAAAGTCAATGGGGAAGCCCAATTCACTTAACAACCATGTTACTAACTTAAGAACTGCATTGATTCACTGAACAAATGTGGGGGGGGGGAGTCGTAAAATGGAGCAAACTCGCTTGACAAATGTCTCACTTAAAACAACATAAATTTTGGGCTCAATTGCAGTCGTAGGTTGAGGACTATCTGTACTGCTTTGTTCTAATTCAGTTTTTTTCTGTTTAGGGCACCAATATTTCTCCACTCTCTTATGACAGAACTGTTTTGTGGATTGGAAAGTTAAGCTCACTCTTTCAGTTTTGCTTTCAAACCTTTTCCTTGGCGGTCAGCTTTCTGAACCGGTTGCTGGCATCAGTAAAGGTAAGGACCTCTGGATTCTCCTACTAGTTGTTTCTGTCGATAGTGAGAAGTGCAAAAGGACAAACTGGACTCAATAAGTTTGTTTGGAACGAGAAAAAGCCGAGAGTGAAATTGAAAATTATGCAAGATGTTCCAGAAAGAGGAGGTCTTAAACTTCCAAACCTACAGTTATATTATGATGCAGCAGCTTTAACTTTAACAAGTGATTGGTTTGGAAGGAAAAAGACTGGAATATTGAATGCAGAAAGTTTTGATCTTGAATTTGGATGGCATGCTTACTTATTTTATGATGACAAAGTTGATAAAGTATTTAAAAGTCATATACTTAGAGACTCTTTGATGTGAGTTTGGAAGAAGCATCGACTCAAATGGGATTATAAAATACCGTTATGGCTGGATCTTGGTCATACTTTGTGGAATACAAATATAATGTCACTCGGGGGGGTTTTATACAAAGAGGTTCTTTTTATAGATGCGGGCAGATGGCAGCTGAAGACATTGCAGACACTGTTGGACGAAGGGATTAATTTAACTTGGTTACAATATAATCAATTACAATTGAGATGGAAAGAGGACCAAAAAACTGGTATTATGTTGCACGAGGAAGAATTGGTTAGACATATAAGAGAGAAAGGTCCAATGCATATCAAAAGGCTTTATAATGTTTTGCTAGAAAGGGACTCAGAAACTGAATTAGTTAAAGACTGTATGATTAAGTGGGCACAAAATTTTGAAGAACCAGTGATGTTGGAAACATGGGAAAAAATTTGGGTTCAGAATGTTAAATTTACACAGTCGCAGAACCTGAGGGAAAATTTCTATAAAATGTTTTATAGATGGCATTTAGATCCCAAAAAGTTGTCATGTATGTACCCTAATGTTCAGCCAAAATGTTGGAGATGTGAATGTTTGGATGCTACGTATTATCATGTTTGGTGGACCTGTAGGAAAGTTAAGGCTTTTTGGATAAAAATTTGGTGGGTCATGCAGAATGTTTTGAAGAAAAAAATTCAATTCTCTCCACAATTGTTTTTATTGGGTATAGTTAAGGGTTTTACATTGGGTGAAACAAAATTGATATTGTATATGATAACAGCAGCAAGATTGTTGATAGGTAAATATTGGAAGAATGAAGCTTTGCCCACTATCAAGGAATGGACTTTGAAGATGGCCAGTTTTGCAGAGATGGCGAAGATTTCAGCATATTTAAAAGATTGTTCACAAGAGACTTATGAATGGGAATGGAAAAGGTGGATAGAATATGTACAGAACAAATATCAAACTAGAAAGTATCAAATAGCTTTTATTTGAAAATAATGTATTGGAAATATTTTAATGTAATGAGGTAAAGAGAAAAAATTATACAGGGGAGGGAGGGGTTCAAGTTTATATATAAGTGTTATATTAAGGGTTTTTTATGAGTATGAGTATATTATAGGGAAGTCTGGGGGGAGGGGAGGGTTAGGGAGGGTTAGGGAGGTTGGGAAGTCTGGGGGGGAGGTGGGGGGGGAAAGGGGTGAAAATGTAATTGTAAAACTTTTGCAATAATAAAAAAAAAAGAAGTGCAAAAGGAGCTCTTATCACACGTATAACCTCAGATGATTAAATCTTCAATCCTAGACATAACTTTTTGGTAAAAAGCTCATTGAGGCTTATTCCAAGTATGGAAATAATTACAGGCTTACAATGTAATCCTGTATGTACATCAGGGGTGAAATCCAGCAGGTTCTAACAGGTTCTGAAGAACTGGTAGTGGAAATTTTGAGTAGTTTGGAGAACTGGCAAATACCACCTCTGGCTGGCCCCAGAGTGGGGTGGGAATAGAGATTTTGCAATATCCTTTCTCCAGGAGTAGGAAGGAAATGGGGATTTTGCAGTATCCTTCAGCTGCCACGCCTACCAAGCCACGCCCACAGAACCGGTAGGGAGAAATTTGGATTTCACCACTGATGTACATATGTACTGTATGTATTTGTTATGATTTTATACCCCTTCTTCCCTCCAGGAATTCAAACCAACTTTTTCATGGGATCCGCTTTCATGTTTTATCCTTCTAAAAGCAACCTTGTAAATTTGGTTGGACAGAGAGAATGACGGGGTCAGAGTCAACCAATGGGGTTCCATGGCTGAGATCAGACGTGAGCCTGGATCAAGCTCAAGGCTGTCAAACTCCCAATCCGCAGGGCCGGATGAATCACACACTGGCCACGCCCACACTCAGTTTAGCGAAGTGGGGGAGTCCCAATATGTCATGTAACGTGGTTCTTTCCATGGTAAATCTGCCCTGATCCACAGATCCAGCATGTTAGGTACTTTATTGGACACGCAAGAAAGGGTCTTAATTTTATTTGTATTATTCATGTTACATCTTACCCACTATCTTTTTTTATTTCTGTAAACTGTATTGAGTGACGGAAAAGACAGAATGGTGTGACATAAATTCAATAATAAATAAAATACATTCTAGGTGATTTTTTACTTGATGCACAGGTATAGGTATACAATGTGTGTGTTTTCAGCAACTTGCACACAGCAGTCCTTTATTCTTTATCTCTCCGTTTTAGGCACAGCTGAAACATCTCCGTTGCATTGCAATAGCTTGTCTACTTCTAGCAGCAAAAATCAATGAAGAAGATGAGGTAGGCGTCTTATTAAATAAGTAAAGGTTTGGACTTTGTTGAGTAACACACAAAATACTATTAAATGGGCCTGATGGAATGGCTCATTCATCAGTCTTCTTTGTCTTTCTCAATACAATTTTGACTAGAATAGAATTTTTTATTGGCCAAGTGTGATTGGACACACAAGGAATTTTGGGGTTGTGACTTACAATGCCTCAGTCATGATTTTGGTGATGGGGGCTGGCTCCTATCAGACTCTAGTTGGCTGAATGAGGTGCTAGTTTCTAGTAAACCCTTCCTTGAAAAAAATCAGAAATGTACACTGTTCAAATTCTCAGAGTTTTAAACTGTAGCTGTTTAGAGCCGTCATGGCACAGTGGTTAGAATGCAGTACTGCAGAGAACTCACTGTTCACTCCAGGAGTTCAAGCCTGACCAGCTGACTCATCCTTCCATCCTTCTGAGGTCAGTAAAATGAGGACCCAGATTGTTAGGGGCAATATGCTGACTCTGTAAACCATTTACAGAGGGCTGTAGAGAACTGTGAAGTGGTATATAAGTCTAAGTGCTATTGCTATTATACTGTATAGTTGTATAGATTGTGTTTGTATAAATTGGTGTAGAGAAGGTCTATTTCTAAGTAAAATTTTTTTTTCATTCCACTTAGTCATGTCCAAGTCTCAGAGACTACTTAGAAAAGTCGATTCCAATTATTTTTGGGGGGAGGGGGCAAGGTTTTTCAGAATGGTTGGCCATTGCCTCCTTCCTAGGACTGAGAGAAAGTAATAGGCCCAAGGCCATTCAGATGGCTCTGTGCCTAAGGCAGAACTAAAATTCATGGCTTCTAACCTGGTGCCTTACTCATTATACCAAACTAGTTCTCGTTTTTGTTTGTGCTTGTACAGATTGTATCTATTAGTGTTGAGTAGGTCTATTTCTAAGCAAATAAGATAACTAGTGGCTTGGAAAACACAACACTATGACTTATGAGCCAAAGCTTCAAATACAGATTACAATTACACAGTTGAGGCTAATTTTTACATTTCACAATATAGATTACTTCAGTGGATTTAGTCATGTACATCAAGAACTGGTATGGATGAATTAATTTTTATTAAAATGTATGAGAATATTGTCTTGTAAATACACAGTTGAGCATCCTGGATGTTTTGATTTCACAGAAGAATCGCTTTAGGTGTTATTCATTTTATTACATGGACTGAAAGCAACTCTTCATCTTTCAGAGAATTGTACATACATCACCATTACACAATACTTCATAAGAACTGAGCTTTTTTTTTTATTATGTTTCCATTTGTTTTTGAACAGATAATACCATCAGTAAAGAAGCTGGCAGAGCAGAGTGATTGCAAGTGTTCTCCAGCTGAGATTTTGAGAATGGAAAGAATCATACTTGATAAACTTCATTGGGATCTTTACACAGCAACATCAATGGATTTCTTAAACATTGTAAGCGTTAAACCTTTTTGATGGTTAAAAGACTAAGCTGACATTTTAAAAACATTAGTAAACATATATTCCTTTCTAGTTAGGCTCACAAATACATTTGCAGTTACCTGCAAGTATTTCAAAGTGTATTTTTTATCACAAAGATACTGAATTTCCATTTGAACATTCTACTTATTCCAAACACTTAAGCTGATTTACAATGTAAATTCCCATTTTGAAAGGACAACTGAAATGGATGTTTAAAAGAGATACTCATACTGTCCACTAGAGGTCTTCCCCCCCCCCCCTTTTTTTTCTTTTGCACGCTGCAAAAATATGTCTAACTATCTGAATCTTAATACTGTATGTAAAAAAACTTTCAAAATTTTTGCTACATTTCACAAATAGGTCATCTCAGATCAGCCTTTTTTTTTTTCACCCTGCATAAATGCACTTGACCCTCATTTTAGTTAAAATAGATCATTCTGATCTGGCACTTAAGTCATATATCTTAACTGCTAAACATTTATAGAAAGAAAACTTCCTTTTAAGAAATTACTATGTGCTATAGTAAGGCAAAAAATCAAGTGATACAACAGTGTCTTAATGCTCCTCCTTTACCACGAACAAGTAGGGTTTTTTCCTCCCATCCTGGAGAATTTTGGATAAATGTCCTGTTTTAACCAACCAGGATGTTAACTTTATATTCCTGTATGAGTGATTTTTATCACACTCATTTATTTCTTTGTGCTGGCTTGGATATCACTATTTTCTTATTTATACAAATAAAGGAGAAATTGGACTTTCTGAATTTCCAATTGCGACAATGCAATGAATTCAGAATTAGTTACATTCAGTGTAAGCTTAAACATCTCAATATTTGGCAAATACGACACAAATTATAACAATGGAACATAATAATCCCAGTTTAAACATCTGGCTGACTGTGCGACCAACCATTGTAATAGATTTTAGAGGTTCCTGCCATTAATAAGAATTAGTTTGCACTTCTGGTCAATGACATAGGAAAACGTACAAAGTTCGTTGATTCATATATATATATATATATATATGAATGATATAATATACTGATTGTTTCTCTTCTCTCCAGTTCCATGCCATGGTGATGTCCAAGTGGCCCCAATTACTAACTAGGCTACCTCAGAGGAATCCTTCCCGCCATGCTGCGTTCTTGACCAAACAGCTGCAGCACTGTATGGCCTGCCACCAAGTGTTGCAGTTTAAGGGTTCCACACTGGCCTTGGTGATCATCACCTTAGAGTTGGAGAAGCTGACTCCTGACTGGTTTCCTGTAATTACCGATCTGCTAAAAAAAGCACAGGTAGGAGTCAGGTTGGCCCCTGCAGCTTAAATTGGAGACCAACACCCTGTTTCAAAAAGCAAACAAGCAAGCTAACAAGTTGTTTGAAAACATTGCACGTTTTAAACAATGTACTGTTCAGGAGTGCTTGCAAGTAGTTGTTAGGATGCCGTTTCTGTCCAAGGCAAAAGATCAGGTTAGTTTAATAGGATTTAAAGTTCTGATGAATTAAAATCATTAGTGGGTTATATGGAATCATGAGGTCATGCTTAGCTTAGTTTATATTTTCAGATATTCCAGATGTTCTTACCTCAACCAGAGCCTTGCCTTTGCTCTGGCAGCTGAGAATATGTTAGCACCACTGTCTTTAGCCGGCTGTAGAGTTTAGCTTTATAACCCACAGCCATGTAATAGGTGGCTTAGTGAACCCAGGAGTCAGTGTTTTTTTTTTAATATCTTAATTACATCAATCAACACCATCCTTGCAATTGCGATTCTGGACAACAAACACAGGATTCAAACCACAAAAGCACTGTGACAAATAATAATAACAACAACAATAATGGTGCCCAAGGTGTTAGGAAATTTAAGGGTGGCCACTTTGGATATCAGCCAATGACATCATTCATAGCGTTAACGATGAAAATCGTTGCTATGAAACCTTATGGTTTATTCAAAAACTTTGCTTTACTGTATGCATTATGCAGACTTCTTAAAGACAGAAATGAAACCCTTCTACTATGCTCCCATTTCCCTGTCCTCTTGAGCAGGGGTCTCCAACCTTGGCAACTTTAAGACTTGTGGACTTCAACTCCCAGAATTCCTCAGCCAACAAAGCCAAGATTGGAGACCCCTGCTCATGAGTGGTTTAGTACTTGCTAAATAAAGTAAAGGTTTCCCTGTCCAGTCATGCTCATCTTCGTTTCTTGGCCAAGGAAGCCAGCCTTGTCCTAAGACATTTTCTGTGGTCATGTGGCCAGCATGATTATATGCCAAAGGCACACAGAATGTTACCTTCGCAACAAAGTAGTACCTATTTATCTACTTGCATTTGCATGCTCTCAAACTGCTAGGTGGGAAAGTGCTGGGGCAGGAACAGGAGCTCACCTTGTTGTGCAGCACTCGGGTCTCGAACCCGGGCTGTCAGCTTTCCAGCTGACAAGCTCAGTGTCTTTAACCGCTAAGCCATTGTGCCCCCTTGCTTCATACCAAGGTACCATTGAGTACTGAAAAAAATTATAATGCATCTCTTATAACTCCCAGAACTTCAGGGCTTCATTGATGCATTAAAGTTCTCATGAAACAGAGCCACAATTGGGAACCTGTGATTCTACCATTGTTGCGCAGCTACATTTCCAGCTCAGATGGCTAAGGATAAAAGATAAGGCTTTGCTTTCTTGTCTGCCTTGTTCATCATAGTGCATTTGCACAATGATTTGAAAACAAAAGATAGATGCAGCATTTCTTGCCACACTAAGCTAAGATAGGAGTCTGTGGCTAAAAACTAAACCACATTTGCTGTGTAATTCTTCTGTTGGTTCAGGACTCATTTCACATCATTTATCTTGAGGAAGCAGCAGGTTTAAAGCAGAGCACTCGCCCTAATTGTGGTTTAAAAATACATTTACAACATTAAAAAAAAATTCTAACATGAAAAGACATAAAAGTTTCACGTCAAGTGTGAACTCGGCCAAAGCATATCCAGATTTTCCATTTGTTGGCGCTGAGTCCAAGGATAGATTTGACTGGTTTTATAGAGCAAACTTGCTGGAATTACTGTAATTAAATGGAAAGACTTTTAAAAATGAATCATTGTTAGCAGCTAAAAATTAAGGGAACAAGGAGAAAATGGTTTGATCACATTATATTTATATTACGTGGCAGATCGATAGCACCAAATTCATCCACTGCAAAGAACTTGTGGATCAGCAGATCTTGGGCTTCCAGTTACCCAATGCTGTCTACATTTTCAACCCTGCAAATCAAAACATCCAAACTCACCTGGCTGAAGGATTACCCTGCTATTATTCCATGGAGAAGAAAGAAATGCAGCTTAACATGCAAAACTCACTCCTCAGAGGCGAGGCTTATGTGGATGACCTCCAGAGTGATGAATTCTATGATGGATTCAAGTACTTGTACAATGAAGATGGGACCTCAGAAGCTGGACCAAACAGTGAGATGGGAAATGATGGTATTCAGGGACCAGAGGAAAGTATCAATGCTTGCCCACCATTACAACCTGCCCCTCATATTGATTAGAGGTTCACATAGGGCAAAAAAGGGACCAAATACTAGACAAAGCCAAGGCTATTTCTAATACTTCATTAGTGAAGACTATGTATTAATCGTATATTGCCTATACTGTAGCTTTCAACTTTCCGTTTTTTAAAAAATTCTTTGGCCAGACTTATTTTGATTAGATCAAAATATAATCTAAAAAAAACATATTTGAACAAGGCAAAATTTCAGATGTCCCATGCTTAAAAATATTGATCAGTGAGTAGGGTAGCTTCTTAGGACAGCTTAAGTTGTTTGTTAATACAGATAGTCCTCAACCACAATTGAGCTCAAAATTGAGCCCACAAATGAGACATTTGTTAAGTGAGTTTTGCCCCATTTTACGACCTTTCTTGCCTCAGTTGTTAAGTGAATCACTGCAGTTGATAAATTGGTAATCTGGTTGTTAAGCGAATCTGGCTTCCCATTGACTTTGAAGGTCCCAAAAGCGGATCACATGATCCCAGGACATTGCAATCATCGTAAATATGAACCATTTGCCAAGCATCTGAATTTTGATCACATGATCATGGGGATGCTGCAGAGATTGTAACTGTGAAAAATGATCATAAATCACTTTGAATGGTCACTAAATGAACTGTTGTAAGTCAAGGACTACCTGTATTCAGCAACCAGAAGAATACATGATAGCAGTGTTCCAGTATTTGAGGAGCTGCCAAAGAGAGGAGGGGGTTGGTCAACCTATTTTCCAAGGCACCTGAAGGCCAGACAAGGAATAATGGATAGAAGCTGATCAAGGGGAGATTCAACCTAGAAATAAGGAGAAATTTTCTGACAGAACAATCAACCAATGGACCAGAAGTTGCCTTCGGAAATTGTGGGAGCTTCATCACTGGAAGCTTTCAAGAAGAGATTGGACTGCCATTTGTCAGAAATGGTGTAGGGTCTCCTGTTTGGGCAGGGGGTTGGACTAGATGACTTACAAAGTCCCTTCCAACTTTGTTAATCTGTTAAAAACTAGCTTGGTTCTCCTATTATTTGTTGAATTTCAGCATAGGAGTTTTCTTCCCGGAGGCTAAGGCTGCAGGTCTGAACTGTTAAGGCCTGGAGCAGAGATTTTCTTGATGGCAATCATCTAAATCACCACTAGGCCATCACTTTGTCCAAGTGAGCTCAACTGCTAGTGAAATAACGGTAGAGAAAAGAGGAGGCTTAGCGAGCAATGTAACTTTTCTGGTTGTTGACTGATGTTCTGAACTGAGGCAGCACTGTAATAAATGGTCAGCACACTTCAGAGTAGGATACAAAGGTTTTCAGTTGATGGGTAGGCTTTACAAGTGAACAGTTTTTTTTTTAACACAGCTGAATGCCGCAGCCATGACTTTCCACCCCTATATAAATAGCAAAATTCATTTCATAGAAAGTTTTCTGTTGCAAAAAGATAGGTCTTGGACAATGGTCCCACAAAAATGGGAAAATCCTTTCCCTTCCCATCTACATTGTTGTGTAATCAGAGCTGAATATACACGAATTTATGAGATCTCAGAAGGATAGGAAGTGAAGCAGGATTCCTATTGATCCAGGGCTAATTTTTTGCCCTTTGGATGATGTATTGTCATCCCACAATAAACTAGCTAGAATTATTACAAGGCCTACAGATAAAGTTAGTCTTTTCAGAATTCTTAATTTTTCAGCAGGAGCTTGAACATGATTGACTTCTTCCAGCTCTATATTTGTATGAGTTGTACACATCCAACCGAGAGGCTACCGTGTTTCCCTGAAAATAAGACCCTGTCTTGTATTTTTTTGAACCCCGAAATAAGCACTTGGCCTTATTTTCGGGGAGGTCTTATTATTGTGGGGCACATGGAATAAGATGGAGCTCCTCTTGCTGTCTTACCTGATTTCCAGTTCTGTGTTTAAATATTTTTGGGGAGGGCTTATTTTTTGGGGGAAAGGCTTATTTTAACACATGCTCTCAAAAGCCCGATTGGGCTTATTATCAGGGGATGTCTTATTTTTGGGGAAACAGGGTAATATTTGGGGTAATAATACTGACTACCCAGCCTTATACATTCCCAGTTGAGACCCAAATAAGAATGGCTGCATGATTTTTTTTTTCCAAATATATTCAGATGCCCAAATACTAAAGTGTCCTGAAGGATGAAAAATGGTTTCAGGGAACAATAAAATGGTTTAGCTAGAAGAGCACAAGCAAGTGATAACTGGTTTGCTCTTCATCTGATCTACATTTTTGTCTTTACCTTAGCCCGTTTGTTGCTCTGAACATTATGAAATGGTGTTGCCAGTTTGTATTCCATTTCCATGGAGAAATTAATTGTCTCTAAACCACATCTGTTTTACATTCTGTGAACTGAATCTTGGAACAGAAAACATCCAATTGGAAAGAGTATTATTATCTTTAGTTCTTAGCTTGACTGGGCATGCTTCAAAAATAATTTGAATATGTGCACAATCACAATATCTCTCTGCTATTCATTAATACAAGCCAGGGGTGGGTTCTACTTACCTTTACTACCGGTTTGCAATGGGGCCGCTCGTGTGTGCTTGCTTTGTGCATGCATGCTCTTCTGCGCATGCGCAGAAGCATTTTGATGACATCAGGGTCAGTGGGCGGAGCCTCCCGCCAATTTTACTACAGGTTCTATAGAACTGGTGTGAACCAGGGGCAACCCACCACTGATACAAGCTGTCTTTTTTCAGGTTGCTGCATGGAACTGAAAAATGTCTTTGTGTTCAGAGTTCAATAACTTAACGAGTTAAGTTAGCTGTTAATGCAGCACCATCTCATTTTCAACCTTGTGCATCATACTTGATGTGGCTGCTTTAATGAATAGAAGAGAGATCCCATATTTGTATAGATTCCAATATATTCCTGAACAGTTCTATCTTCTTGGGCAAGTTTCTTTCTATAAGCTTTATCTGTTTGTTTTCTCAGACATTCTGTGGCTTCCTTCTCTCCTCACATTCATGATCATCTCAAATTCCAGTGGGGACTACGGTACTAGGGACTAGGAGAGTGAAATGGTAGCAAATGAACAAGATGTTTATCATAATTTATACGTCATAACATTTAGCTTCTCCCAATGCAGCTAGTTTTAATACATTGACTTTGGAAAAGCATTTAGGCTTCCCTGTAAAGAGATGCTCAAACCTTTGGCTGAATGGATTTCACTTTCAAATTACCTTAGAAATAAATGACTCAAGGAGCAGAGTAGGTTCAAAATCTTCGAATTCCCATTGGAGAAAGGACAGAAGAGCACCCACTTCTCCTTGAGTATCCAAGTATAAAATAACCATTAGGTAACCAATGGAATTCTTTATTCTATAGTCTACAATGGGGGTTCTAAAACCATGGTTTGAGTCTCCCCAGGAGATGCCAACAATTTGGGAAGGGTGTCTCAAGCTCCATCTTGTGCACCAATTGCACTCCTTTTGGTACTTTGAGGCTGTTTGCAATCACTCGTGTCTTGGTGGACTACTGCATTCCCAATCCTGCAATGCACTTTACATGGGGCTGTCCTGGAAGAGCATCCCTAAGCTACAGCTGGTACAGAATGCAGCGGCGCAGGCAGTTATGATCACTTCTTGATCAAAGCATGTTGCACTTCTGCTTTGCAAGCTGCACTGGCTGCCAATATTCTTTCACATTCAGTCCATGGTGCTGCTTGTAACCTAGAAAGCCCTTTATGGCATTGGGCCAAGAGAAACCACCTCTCCTTGTTTATGTCCATTAAGTCTGGCAGGAGGCGTGCTCTGGGTCCCATCTCTATTAGGGAGTACCATTTGGTGGGGCCCAGGAAGATAGCCTTTTTGGTCATTATGCCCACCCTTAGGAATATCATCCCTCTGCCCCCACCCCAGAGATTAGATTAGCCTTCACTTTGTCATCATTTTGTAGGCTGTAAAGATAGGGTTTGGTCACCAGGCCTGGGAGACAGGATGGTTGGGGTGTGTCGATTCATTTTTGATGAGTTTGATTTTACCCTAACTGTGGTTTCTATGTGTGCTGCCATTTGTTTTTTATTCATTTGTTTTATTTATTTATTAAATTTATATGCCGCCCATATCACTATCAAACATCTTTTGATGTTGCTTTTTTCAAAAACTATTAGTAGCAACCCAGAATCATGAACTTGAGATGGACAGCCATATAAGCTGGGTGAATGAATGAATGAATGAATGAATGAGTGAATGAATATTTCTAAAGCTCATTAGGTTTGCACACACAAGGCAGCAAGGAAAACCATTCTTTTTTTCCCCCCCAAATTATCTCTCAATGCTGTGTATTGCCCAAAGCAGGGGTGAAATGCTCCCGGATCGGACTGGATCGCCCAATCCGGTAGCGTTCTTGGCTGGTGGTTTGGCAATCTGGTAGCGATGGCAGAGTGAAGCCAGGAGGTAATGCTTTTTTTTTTAACCTTCTGTGCATGCGCAGGTGTTGCACATGCACACGTCTGCGTGTGCCTGTGATGCACGCGTGCGCTTCCGAACCGGTAAGGAAGGCAAGTAGATTTCACCCCTGGCCCAGAGTCTTATGCAGTTGGATGGCCTTCCAAATCCAGCAAATGAATAAACTGCTGACTTGCAAAATTAGTCAGGGCTAAAAGGACCAACAGTTGGTTTCTCTCTTCTGAGAATCTTTTTTCTATCCAATGCTATTGGGATGTAATGGACTTTTCATATGAATGTTGTGAAACAAGGTAACCACAAAAAAACTACGGTTCTCATTCCTTACCTGTTTCCAAGTGGATATTGGACTATAGAACTACAAATGTAAGCAAGTGTTCATTGTTATTAGTTTCATTATTTCATACATTTAGAAAGTGAGTTCCCTTCCATGCATCTTTCGGCTGACCCAGGCAGCATTTTCAAATAGTCTGCTTGAAATAGTTGCATACCGGATGATCATGTGAATGAAACAAGCGTAGCAAAAGGTATTGTTTTGGAATATATCAGAGCAGCACCAGTATGAATGCTGTGTCTTTCCCCAAACATTATGCTTTGTGTGTGCTGAAGAACTCAAAATAATGCCTTCACGACTTCACAGTGCAGGCAATCCTTGATTTACGGCTGGTAGCTGAGCAACCAAAGTTATGATGGACCAAAAAACCCGACTTGGATGACTGCCCCCCCTCCGCAGTCATGTGACCACATTTTGGGCACTTGAAGGCTGGCCTACATTTACGGTTGTTTGCAGTGTCCCATGGTTACATGATAGCACTTTACATATTTTGCCAGAAACTAGTGTTTATTTCTGGTTTCCAGCAAAAATGTCCACTGTGGGCAATGGTTCCCTTAACCACATGGTGATTCACTTAACAACCACCAGAAAAAAATCTTGCAATATCAGATACATGATGACCCACTTAACAACCAGTACAACTTACAACTGTAATTCCAGGCTTAATTATGGTCCTAAGTCAAGAACTACTTATATGTGAACATTGTTGATACAATAAGGGACATAGGAATTTAAGTTATGCAATGTATTAAAATGTAAAATCTGGTATTTTTCATATGCTTCGATGTCTCCTAAAGGTCAGTTTGGAAAATGTCTTGACATTCCTTTCAAATTATAGTATCAAAAGCATAATTGTAAACTGTGACTTTTTATATTTTTAATATCACCTATTTGGGGTTTCTCTTTTTTTTAAAAGTAAGTGGGTGTTTTTGTTCAATAAAATCTAATTTAAAATCTTAGGTCTAATTTGCCTTTCTTGATTTTGCTTTTTTTCTTGGAAATAAAGCATAGTTCTTGTGACTTTTGCAAATAGAAAACAAGCTAGTGCATTGAAGACATTGTAGCTCAGGGGTGGGTTCTAAATTTTTTTACTACAGGTTCTGTGGGCGTGGCTTATTTTGTGGGCATGGCTTGATGGTCATGTGACAATTCTTTAGGATTTAGCAGAAGTACTGGTCTACCAGGCTTTTAACTGCTTGCAGAGGTCTACTCATTTGTTTTTGGAGGCACCGGTCTCCTCATTTGTTTTCTTTTAACACTGATCAGCTGTAGGGTGGCCCTTTGAAGCCCAGTGGCAAGAGTTTAAACAGTTTTTTTCCCTCTAGCCAATCAGCTGGGACTCAGGAGGTAGCAATAGATTGGGGGTGGGGCCAAATAAAAGGTAAGAATAATGCTGGGGCCGGGGGGGCAGAACCGGTTTGGTGACATCATATCGTCACCGCTACCGGCTTGGCGGAACCAGGCAGAACCGGGCGGAACCCGGCTGTAGCTGTATAGATACTTATCTGAAATATGCCTTGAACTCAATGGATCTTAACCTCTGAACAGGCTTGCATTCAATGGGCTATGATCTCAGCAACCAAATTTCTGAAATGTCCTTCAATCTGCAAACTATACCTACACAATGCATACTTTCTTATAGAATGAAGCATATTCTGTGTACTTTTATAGCATGTGGGAAATTAGACAATTCAAGGGTTGGGAAAAGGATGTGAAAAGGAGCAAACAAATTGCCATGAACACACTATTCTGTTTTGATTTTTAAATGTAACTATCAGGGAGGTGTATTCTATGGGGAAATTAATATTACCCAGTCACATACGTTCCTCAGATGCAACAGTTTTCAGTGGATCTCATGAGGACATTATTTAATGTCAGACTAATATGAAAAAATCTGCATTTGGCTAAGCTTGGACTTGGTATTAAACATTTTTATTCTGACAGAATATAATTCTACAAACATCCAACATATTTTGGATACTATATATCAGAAGAAAATTCAGTTAGTCTTGTTTTCCATAAATGAAGAAATTAATATAAAATGCTTTATTCCAGGTATCAGAGTTCAGAGCGTTGAGGAATTTTTTAAAAGTTATATCATCTCTGAAACTACTTCTGCCATTTCAAGACCAAATCAACAATCAGCTCCCAAAAGGGGCCTCTGAAGACTGAAGAAAATTTTAACTGGCTATATACATCATGCTTATGCCAAAAGCAGAATTTCCTTTGCCTTCAGTTGGAACTCAATTGTTTCTTTTTGTTTGTAAAACCTTCTGGGCAACTGTTTGTTTCCTTCTATCCTGTCACAAATGTGAAAGGCAGAAAACAATGGTAGCTGGATGTTCATAAATTCCAAGATGATATGAAAACACTCTCCTAGATGTTTCACAGTCTTAGCCCTCCAAATTTTCAGATGTCTTGGGGAGGCTAGAAACTTTAAAAAAGTGAAGCATTTCTTAGCTGGGTTTATCAGGAGATGGCTCTTATGACCAAAGATGCTGAATGCTATTTCTCTTTAGAACAGATACTTCTGCACATAATCAGCAAATTGGGGAGTGGAGAGGCGAAATAGTGCACATTGTTCATTTTTAGTAAATTTGACCAAAAGCAGCCAGTGACTGCCACTGCTGCAATAAGATCCCTTCAGTTTTTGCATTTAATGATTCTGGTCTCTCTTCTGTTCAGCTTAATGTTCTGATATGGCCTCTTGAGATAACAATATTTGTGGCCACTTTGCTTCCTTCCAAATGTGGCAGCAGAGTTCTGCTGATTCAGCTTACTCATGCTCTTACCGAGGGGTCCCTGGCCAGTTTCCTGAAAGTATTCCCTACAGGCATTGCTGTGTACTTCAAAACAACATAGGGCACTAAATTGTTGTTGTTTTTCATCCAAATACTATGGGTCAGTTTGGATATGCTGGCCTAATTTACAGAACTCTTCTCCCAAAAAATGTCTTGATATAGAGTCCTTCTACACTCCACTTCAGGTTTCTGTCTTGAATGAGGTAGCAAACTAAAGGACCAAATGTAAATTTATTTTGTAGCTCAGCTTGAATGTATTTAGCTTCCCATATTAGAAAGTTTTATGCCAGAACAATTAGGATCTGTGCATCTGGGCTATGCATAAATATTATCCATTTTGCTAAAGGAAGAGTTCTGTAGGTGGTTTTCTTGTCCTATTTCAAGATCTTAACAACAAACCTATTAACCATGGAATTTCTCCACCTCTCCCATTTAGTTGTCCTTTTAAAATGGTTCATAAAAAGATTTTAATTTATTATTTAGACACAGAAAAGGCTTTGGGGCATTGTGGCTTTAAATAAAAAAAAAAGCAGATGCACATACAGAAAGGGAAAAGACAACAATGGTCTAAAGAGACAAGAATGGGAGTGTCCCTCTATTGAGTTGGGCACAGTAATTTAATGAGTTATTTTCCTTTCATACAAAATGTCTCATTATACAGACATAAGGGGGAATTTCTGCAAAGTTAGTGTTAAGAGATTCTAGAATTTCATAGAGAGGTTAGAGATAATTTAAAATGATCTTTGATGCCCCAGTTTAAAACACAGTGACATATTTGGTGTGGTGTTTTTTTTTTAAGGTGAGGACTTTTCTCATGTAGGGCTTCTAAATTACAATGTTTTTTTGAAAAATTGATCCATTATAGGTAGAGTCATTTTTAATGGATCCAACTAAACACATCGTGTCTCTGTTTATACTGGAAGTAAAACAATAGCTGAAACATCAAATTCACTGTGAATACCGTCTCAGTGTGTTCAATCTGTCATTAGGAAACTTTGTTGGGCTTTCTTTCTCCACATAGGAAGATTAGTGTTCTTTTTTTATTTATTTTAGTACATGCCATGCATTTAGTCTGAATTAAACATTTATAGGTGAGTGATCAGTTTCTACTTAATCAAGGAACCTGATCAGGCAGTGCCATCCAAACCAATCCTTGCTTTAGAATCTCTTCTGTGAATACATTTCAAGCATTAAAAAAGTAGAAGCACCAATTAAAACTCTTCTGCATGAGATGTTTTGGCCTTAATAAATCTTCTAATTTACATATCTTCCTGATGTAATGGAGCACGAACTGGGAAGACTAAAGAAGCTACAGAAAGAACAAGAAACAATATTTAGATTTCAGGCTCACTTAATTACATCAAACATACTGCAAGAAAACACATTCTGTAAAGATACCACTGCTGCTTGTTCAACTGTCAGCGTTATGATTTTCTTCAGATGGAGAAAAAGTTCAGTGGCTTGCTGCTCTCAATAATTCCAGTAATAAAATAAAAAGAGATCAGAGAGTCAATAGACCGTAATGTTTGTAGATCCGTCGTTGCCATGCAGAGTTGAGAATAGATTTGGAGTGGGGGGTGGGGTTGGACTGGGTTAACCGAGGTTCTGTACCTCCAGGAACCATATAAACTCCAATAAGAACTATAGAATAGGTGATGCATAGTGATAGAAGCTCCCATTTCAGTATAAATCGGTGGCAAAGGCACCTTAACTAGCCCTTAATTGATCCGACACAACCTTCCCTTGATTCTGACCACAAAACATAGATTTCAACATGAGAAGCTTATTGATAGAACCTTCTCAAAGTCTTTTTTACTACTCAGAATATGAAACAAGAACAGGCCCACAGAAACCAAATGGTTCCTCTTGACTGCAAATGTAGTTTTTAAAATTTCACTACAGAAAGCAAGCTGCTTTATAGGCAATGTTTGCTTTAACTACTTCGGTAAGGGTAAATCCTTTCAATGATCTCTTCACAATGATACAAATCTTAAAGTCATGGATAAGTACCTATGCACTGATGATGTTACCTAGTTGGATAATGAAAGGTCTGCAAGCAAACAACCAAACTCAGAGAGACACCACCGACCGCCTGCTGCCACCAGTAGCCTCTCACCGGCCAGTACGCTCTCATAGAGAGGGGCTCCTCAGGGTGCCGTCGGCCAAACAGTGATGATTGGCGGCCCCCAGGGGAAGACCCTGCTATCTGAGCTTCCCCCGGAGATACGGAGGATCCCGGATTTATGCACCTTCCGCCACACCCTCAAGACCTTTTTATTCCAACAGGCTGGCCTGGCCTAACCTCCCTTTTTAATTGTAAATTTTAAATTTGTCTATAATTTTAGGGGTATTTTAATCTGTTCTGGGCCAAATTTATTTAATTAGGTTTTTATACTGTTTTTAAATTTTGTAATTCTGTGTGTTTTATCTCTTGGCTATTCACCGCCCTGAGTCCCTCGGGAGTAGGGCGGTATATAAATCTATATAAATCTAATAACAACAACAACAACAACAACAAAAATTGGGTTACATGTGTTCTGATTCACTGGTACTCTCATAAAACAGAGCTCATATTCAACAGTTGCCAATTTAAGAAAAAGACAACCAGAAAAAGATACAGTATTCTTCATTCTAAAATGACATATATCTACAATTAGAATCTCATATATTTGCATCTCAATTTTTAAAATGCAATTTGCATTTTTTGTGATGCATTATCTTTGCTAATTAGCATTTTATCAGATTACCTATACCAGTGATGGTGAACCATTATGGCACCAAGTGCCCAAACTGGAACATGCGTGCATGCGCGCGCCGGCCAGCTGGACTTTGGATTTCCGGCATGCGCATGCACTCTGGCCAGCTGGTGTTTACAGGCACCAGAGGACCGGAACACAGCCCAAAACAGATTAAAAAACAGGCTGTTTTCAGGCCATTTTCCGGCTGTTTTTCAGGTCGTTTTTTGAGACTTTTTTTGTCCATTTTGTCCAAAACAGCCCCAAAAATGGCCTGGAAAACTGCCCGAAAAGGCATGTTGTTTCACCTTTTTTGGGGCCATTTTCTGGTGCTTCAGCACCCGTGAAGACCAGCTGGCGGGCGTGCATGTGTGTGCTGGAAATCAGAAGAGGAGCTGGCGACGGTGCGCGTGCCCACAGAGAGGGCTCTGTGTGCACCTCTGGCATGCGTGCCATAGGTTCACCATCACAGATCTATACTTTCCTATCGATCTAGTAATATAGTTACCTAATGCATTACAATTTATGTTCTGCTTAAGACAGCCTAGTTCAGCAAAACAAAATTAAATATGATCACTGTAGCAGCAGGACACCCTGCATCTATGAGATGGATTAGGAATAGCTATTTTATTCATTATTTTGCTTACACTTTTGCTACCATAGTGCCAGTATTACAAAATCATTAAATACTTAATGGTTCACTTCATAGAACATCAGGATAATTGACCTCATGTTCACAGCCCTCCAATGTCTCCCATATCGGTTCTGAGGGTTAAAAAAAGGGACATGGACAAGGAATGGGGCCTGTAGTAAGAAAAAGCATTATTACCCATCCATTTTCATAAGAACTATAATTATAGTTATTTTTCATTATGGTTGGCCTTACTTGTTGATATTCTTTTTTAAAAAAATAACCCCACTATTCAAACTGTTTTGAATGCAATCCTACATTTTTATCCTCCTGAATGCATATTCCTTATGTTATCTTACCCATCTTTAAAATGTATTTTCAGGATTTTGAGAATTGAAAATTCTCTCTGCCCCATTATCTGTGTGTATGATTTCCACAACTTGAGCATCCTTCAGCTCAGATTTTCCCAGCAACTAAGGCAATTCCACCAGAGTAGTACCTCCTTAGGTTCCTAGCTAAAGTTTTTGAGGCTAACAATGTGTTCTTCTTTCATAATTGAAACCTGATTATGAAATCATCTCTTTTTAAAGTGCAGACAAGCCCTAATTCCACCATTAAAAATTGCTCGGGGTTGCTGGCATCAATGAGAATATGGTTTTACCCCAGGCACTTCAGCATTAAGGGTGCAAATATTATAGTTATATAATATGTTACAAGAACTTTTTCAAGTTAGAATTGAATGAAATGTGTAAAAATAAAAGCACGGAACTTAAAATGAAATGTAATATTTAATAAAAAGAAGTACAAAGAAAGCTGAAAAAGTGGTTAAAAAACTACTAAAACCGTAATGTAAGAACAATACATAATACTTCATTAAAAGAAGTTGACAGGTTCTCCTCTTGACACTTTAAAATATCATTCAGTATGATTGTCCAAGTGAACATTTTTACTTCTGAAAACATAGATCATATACTGAATCATTACTTAAATTACACAAATTTTGAAAAAAACAGGAAAATATGGGGTAATTAAAGTCAATGGAAGATGCAGCTCTCCACTAGTCAAACATTATAGAAAATAATGTAGGAAATAAGATTGTTGTGTTTTCCTGTTTTTCTTACTTCACACAACAGAGGTAAATCTTCAAGCTTAGTTTAAGATTTAATTTAAGGTTAGTGTCACATTATAATAGCTAGCAACTTATTAAATAACAATGAATAGAACTACTAAATGCAATTTGGTCCCATAAAGAAATACAAAGTACCAAATCAGACCTCAACCAAGAAAAGGATATTAGTTTCCACGGGACGACTAATTTACAAATAGTTTAACAAAGATGGTAGCAAAATTGAGGCCCATATTTCAATGAAAATAACATAACAGGAAGCACAACATAAAATATGCACTCACATAACACTAATATTATAATAATTAATATAATGTTACATACATTCTGAATGTCTTCATCAGACATATATTGTCATTTCGCTATGCCTTCTATATATTTTATATTTATTATTATTCCCACCTTCTTAATTAATTTCCAAAATAGGACAGCATCAAACTGAGGTCCAGAAAACCAACTGGACTAAAAAGAAATGTTCTGCATAGAACAGATCTTATTGGCTTTCACAAACACTTAAGCTGCAACATTTTGCATAATTAATAGAACTCTATTCTACCACCCGGCAGTCTCCTTAGCATGCATTAATTTTCAGGCTCCTAATTTTGCCTCCCAAAGAAATTTTGTTTTATGCCTTTAAGTAATCATGTACCAGAACTGCTACTATCTACATAAACAATACAATAGATCTCTTCTGCACTGCAATTCACCTTCAGTAATTATCCAGTTGCATTTTAGAAAATATATTTTATCTTAATAAAGGCACAGCCTTTATAAAAGAAAAAAAGAGATTAAAATGCAAGCCTGAAACAGTATAACTTGAAGAGGCTTGCGTTTTTGTTTTTGTTTTTTTAATTTGATTTATATGCCGCCCTTCTCCGGACTCAGGGCGGCTTACAATGCGCTAAGCAATGTAACCTATGCTTACAGTTTTTTTTTATGAGGTTTTTTTCCCCCTCTCTTAAAAATATCAGGTAATACTGTAACATGATTTTCAATATATTCAGACATTGGCCATAGGTTAAATGACAAAAGACTAAACAGTATTTCAACCTCTAAGCAAGAAGCTTCTGCAAGAAAATGTGCAAAACAAGGAACCTCAGGATAACTATATAGTTAAATTCTACTTTTGGAAAGGTTTTAACAAAAAAAAAAATGCAAGCAATGCTCTAGCACCACCAAAAATTTAAATGGAAGGACAACTAAAACTTCCCAAGCAAAACATTCGGTGAACAGCTGCTCAGTCAATACTAAGGCAACGGAGAGAAAACATGTGTCCATCCAGTTCTATGCAGTGCACAAGCTGGCTCTAACAGCTGCTGTGCATTTGGTTTTCTTACCAATTTCCTGGCAAAGAAAATTTGAATCTTTTTGTGGCAGTAAGGTGAAGCTTCAATAAACTTCACTTAAGCTTGGTTCAATTTTCTGGCAGCTTTATTTATGCAATAGGAATGTTTTGTAATTGATTTTTCCATCATAAGTCACTGTATAATTGGAAATCTTGCCATTTGTCCAGATCCATTTGAGTCCAGTGTTAATTTGAATCTCCATATGCAATAAATGGATCAACTGGATCCCAGGACTGCCTGTCATATACTAAGCCAGCCTTTTCAGACTCACATTTCAGTTGTACATTTCCTCAAAGCATATAACAAGAGACAAGTCACATTTTAAAAGTAGACTGTACAGTATATAAGTAACAATTTAAACCAGCACAAAATATGATTTGAAAACCACTAAATGTTTTAATTGGCCTAATCTTAATTGGCCTAATTTTTTTCAGAACCCTTGCCATCAATGCCATCTCCATTTTTTTGCCTGGCCTCTATCATATACAACAAATTATAGTACTTGCAGTACTTGACATCTGCAATACTTATGAACTATTTTAAAATAGCCAAACCACCTTGGCTGAAAACCAGTTGAGGGAAAAGAACCAACTTTAAAAGATAGAGATTAATGTTGAATTTTATTTTTTAAAGTAAAGTATGACTTTCTATGTTCTACCACTAACTATGGAGCTATTTTCAATTTTAAAATTTGAGGAGAGAATTAATTAAAGGAATTATATGTCTCCACTAGATCCTACAGCAAACTTATACCCTCTTGAAATTTGTCTTGAATAATATTTCAGTCACCAACAGAAATGCTAAGCTTTCTCATACTATAGTTCTTATTTTAATATAAAGTTAAGAATGTTGCCTCAAAACAGGTTTTGATCAGAAGTAACATTCTGGTAATCTCTCCCTCAGAATAAATTGCAAAAATTAAAACCAAAGGTAACTTTTCCCAATGGTAACTTTTACACTGCTACCTCTCTGCCTATATTGCATCTTAAAAATTGACTTGCTATATTTAGGGCCATTTGATACAGAGATGGTGACTTCGAGTTTAGAACAAATAGGTTGCGCTGCAATTACCTTCCCGACATTTCAGAACTAAATGTGTGAAGAATTTCCACCTTGAATCTGCAAAGGCAAAGCAAATCATTCTTTTTCTTAATCATGCTAATTTCCTGCATGGTCACCATCCATTCTTGAAAAAAGGCAGGTGATGAGTTTCTCGTGCTGCTTCCTTTGCACAGTGGGATGGCAGAAGGATTCACAAGGTGGGAAAACAACAATTAACATACATATGAATATACAGAGTCCACTCATGGCATTGTAATCTATGTGTGAGATTAACTGAAACAAAAACATAAAAAAACATGGATTAAACTATAGAACTCAAATGTAATAAGAACATAATAGCATGAAAAAAATAAGGATGATATGACCCTTTGGGACATGCCATAAATGCCCAATCGAATTATACCCGTCTCAAAAATCTGCCAGAAAGTAACTGCAATTAACACTCAACCACTTTACCTTACTAAAATATTAGATTGACATATATAAAGCCTCATGTTCAATTCCTAGTATTTTCCCACTTTTTAAGATTTGTGGTAGCAAGAGTGACTATCTCAGATCTCACACCAGCAGGGATTCAGCATGTGGGTACCTATTTATATTCCAAGATATCCAAGTGACTGCCAAGTTCAGGAACACTAAATTGCATTTAGTGAAAATAATAAGTTTTACAGTCAGAGCAACAGAGTATTTTAAAAAGAAATAACTATTTGAAGCATTAATTACTTGAAACAGAAGGACACAAGCAAGATACTAGTAGCTGTCCATCTTCTTTCAACTCCTGTCCTCTTTCTCTGATTGATCTAGCTGGAGCACATTAATAGGTTGTTGAAGGCAATGTACAAATTCTAGGAGTGAAATGAAATAACTGGACGGGACTACCAAATGGTAAATGCATCTGCGCAAGAGTCATGGGCAAGACTCCCTACAGAACTCATATGTCTCCTGCTCAAAAAATCCAATTTGGATCTTTTGGTCCTTAATAACTTAATGTTCAGTTGGTTAATCTCCCCTTTTAAGAGAGGGTAAAACTGAAGATAATCCTGAAAGAAAGGAATAACTGAACTCATTCAGGCCTGATTAGGTGACCAAATCAATACTGACTGCCCAGGGAACAAATGTGCCTTTGTTATCTTTTTATCTCTTCATTCCCCCTTTAAATTTTTTATTATTATTATTATTATTATTATTATTATTATTATTATTATTATTCATATATCTATGCTGCCCACTCTCCGAGGACTCTGGGAGGCTTACACCAAAGACAGTATACTAAATAGCATATTGCCCCCAACAATCTGGGTCCTCATTTTACCCACCTCGGAAGGATGGAAGGCTGAGTCAACCTTGAGCGGTGAGATTTGATCCGCTGATCTGCTGAACTAGCAGTCAGCTGAAATAGCTGCAGTACTGCACCCTAACCACTGCGCCACCTCAGCTCTTGTGATATCCTAAACTAAACATGTGATATCCTAAACTTTCCTTGTAGGTTGTGAGCGAAGCATTACAGTGAAACCACTTTATTCCTAGATTAGCATTAGGTGACTATATCTTGGCTTCCTGGCAGTTATGGAACTCCAAAGTATTTCACTGTTTATAACATACTTTCCAGTTTTTTATAAAAGCTGTTGGAAGCCATTCTTAAGGGAATCAGAGGTAAGCCTCGTTGATGTGTGACATTACAGAGCAACAGAGTTAGGTACCATCTGAATCAAGAGAAATGAATTCATGTTCTTGACCAATTTCTGGACACCGCAGGAGGTTGGAGGAAGATCAACAGGCCGAGGCTGAATTCTGAAAATATGAGGACAATGGGAACATGATGTTCTCTTGTCATTTCAGACAGGACTGTACATTCCTTGAAAGAGTGCTGTTGGAGCCTCTTTATGATATGAATGGAGATTTTGACTAAATTGTACTTTGTAATTGTGTTTGTGAGTGTCTGTTTAATAAACTGTATCCTTGCTTTGGCATTTTTACAGTAAAAATATCAGGTATGAATTACATAAATAAACCAGGTAGTATCAACTGGGCATAATTCAACAGGAGATGTCCATACTGACATTCATCCCAACTCAGATGACAAACTTCCATAGCTTTGAAATGCAATAATGGCTAAATCTTCACATATTAATAAAGAACAAATGAACTATCTGAACATGCTGAAATAGAAACTCTTTCAGCAATCCAGTTCTTGTCTTTAGCCTATTAAGAAGAGAGATTTATTCCGGGTAAATAAGTATAGGAGACCGCACCATACATTAAAATCAGAAGATGAATACAATTACACCCCCTTCAATGAAAATGCAAACTTTATCATAGAGCAACTGCTTCAATTTATCCAGCAAAAGGATCCTTTTCTTACAGCGGCAACTTTGTTCCAATTCATTTTAGACATTCCATAATGAAAGAAATAATTGTAGCAAAAGTTACCATGAAATCTTGCTTATTAAAATAAGTAGATGTCACAATATATTGTAATTTAAGATTAATTTTACTCCAAGCAAATCTGTAGTTATGAGCCTCCATTATAGGAGGAGAGGCATGTCAGTCTATGGTAGTAAAAGCTATGAATCTGATAATACCTTTTCATACTAACAAATTTTATTCAAAGACATAAGCTTTGATCAGCTATAGATCACTTCATCAGATGCACAGAATGGCTAGAGTGCTCTAAATTTTAAACTGGGATGAGCTGGGGGTAGGTGGGTGGGAGAAGGGAGTGGAAGATAGGCTGATCCATGCTCCCTAATGCCAAACATGGTTTTCAAATAGTGGCAAAAGGTCAGCTCAGTTAAATTATTTACATATATTTTGAATCTGTATTTTAAATTGTATCTGATTTGAGTTTTTATTGGTTTCATTAGCAGCCCAATTTCTACCTATCTTATTACTAGCGTATAATGTATCTTCAGCTACAGTTCAAAATAATAAAATATACTATGGTCATTTCCTAAGTAAGAAAAATGATGGACTTAATATTCCCTCATTTAAACCTAAGTAATTGTTGGCCAGCTCTGCAGTTAGAGAGTTTATACTCAATGATCAAGATCACAACATTTTTTAAAAGGTAAAACATGTCAAGCCGTATTAAAACAAAGAATTAATTATTGCACTACCAACAGAGACTACCTAATATTGTATGCTATTGTATGCTAATCCCAAAGGTGTTTTTTCAAGAGGCAGCTTGAAATTGCCTCTTGAAAAAGTACTTTTGGGTCAACCATGACCTGGATAACTGAGAATCTCCATAGACATTGTATGCTAATATTTTATAATGAATTTTAGATGTGAAATATACCTCAGATGGGGGGAACCTGCATATGTACTATATCTAATGAAGTGCTCTAAATTTTATGCATCTGATTGTGTTCCACAAAAGCTTAGACAGATCTTAATTTATCTTACTTCCCAGGTTCCATAAAAATATTTTTGCTTTTGCTGCAAGAGACTAAAATAGCCATTCCTCTGGGAAATTATTAGAAGTTCATTGGCTATGCAATTCTCATCCAGTGACTGCTCTAACTTTGCATTAGGTAAAAGTTCATAAACCACCTTGAATAACTTTTTCAAGGGTGGCATATAAACCTTTAATAGGTAAGAAAAGTATTTCCATGGATGAACATATGCTTTGTCTATAATTGGATCCCAGGTTCAATTTATGTGGTTTCCAAATTCATGTTGGAAGGACTCTGGTCAGCCAGGTATCTATAAACAACATTCAAGAGGAGGATGCAATGACCTTGCTTGACAAAGGACATCTTCCTACCTCACAACAATTCTGCCTTTTCTATCTGTATAGCCTCTCATTTACTCATGCACTAAACGTAATTTCCTGCTATTTGTATAACTTCAGTACTCCTGCCCTATGGTACAATTTCTGGATTCTGCAAGGCATATAAGGGAGTCATCAGACAGTTAGAACAATTAATTCACAACTTGCCTCTGGAAGTTGTGAATTCTCCAACACTGGAAGTTTTAAAGAAGAGTTTGCACAACCATTTGTCTGAAGTGGTGTAGGGTTTCCTGCCTAAGCCGGGGGTTGGACTAGAAGACCTCCAAGGTCCCTTCCAACTCTGTTATTCTGTTATCTCCTATGTGATGTGTGATTTTCCAAATCCAGCTGCCTTTTATCACTGATAAAGTTTAAAAGAGTAGGCACCATGATACGGTACTGGCAAAGATAAAAAGATAATAAGTATGCTGCAGAAGTTTAAAGACAGTCTAAATAGGAAATATTCTTGATTCATTAATTTGGAAGATGGGAAATGTATTTTCTTAAAATAATATTGTGTAAGAAAACACACATCATGATGCCACTGTATATTAAAGTGCTAACTTGAGATACAATTGCTAAACCTTAGTGTGTGTGTTCTGCTTTTCCTTCATCTTTGAATGCTTATTAAAAGTAAAATTTGGATCTCTTAATTCAAGACCCGATCTACTAGAAGTAGCATAAGTAGCTTTAAATAATCTAAATCTCTTTCATTTTTAGCTGACTTTATATCAAGTAGTAAACTCCAGAAAAACACATTTTGCTTTTAGTTGTTGATTCAGCACAAATAATATGAATTAATGCAAATATTGAAAATGTATCTTATGAATTGTAGGCAGTAAAAATATGGTATGGCCACTGGTTGGGATTGCTTTACAAGGGGATCATACAGCTTCAAGATTATTGAGACATCCACAACATCTGAATATAGAGAAGGTTCTGCTATAGGTTATTCAAATCGTACAACTAAGAGAGGATAACTCTATATCCAAACAGCAGACATTTTAAGAGTGTGCCTGATATTGGATCCAACTTAACAATTTTCATGTTTACTGGCTTTTATTTTTCACAGAGCAGTTATCCAGCATATCTGATTGAAAGGATCTTGGCAACATCATCAGGAAAGGTCTCTGCATGAAAACCTGAAGAGTTGTTGTTAGCAAATAAGTTTAGAGGGTCCAATGTTCACATTTTTGTTTCAAATTCAGAGCACATGATTCAGTTTTAATATACCAACACTGAGAAGGATAAGTGTACATTTATGGAACATAAATCATACTCTAAAATTAAGTACTCATGTATATGCTAAGTGCTTCTATTCCTCAATTCATTGTTTTCTGCTCTTCATTTTGTTGATGTCCAGATCCTGTGCTTCTGGTACTGCTTTAATATCAAAGATTGCAGAACCCAACAGTAAAGAAAACAAACTTCATTAACTTCCATGGGGATTAGCAGACCCAGCATTCCTTGTAGGAATCAGGATAATCAAGCATCAATTAAATAATCTTTTCAGATCTAAGAATCATTTGTCTTTAATTTCTTTAAAAGGTATTCCTTTGGCTTATCCTTTTAGGATTTGAAAGCATTCCAAACGGGTAATTAAACCTTAGGTTTGATTTTGTTACCAATACCTAACCAAACTTGTTACCAAAGTTTGGTACTTGTTACCAAATGGTTATTTATTGTTGCAAATAATTTGTTGCACCAATATTGTTGCAAGTTATTTGCAAAATTGTTCCAAATAACCATTGCAACATTTTTATTCGATCAGCTGTGAATCTTGGAAAAGGTAGATAAAGTGGCTTACTTTTTCTTGTCTTTATCTTTCTTCAGTGGCTGCTGTGAAGTGGCTTGCAGGTTCTGATACTGTAGTGTTTCAACTGCCACCTTCCGCCTGTTGAAGGCATTCATCTCCTCCTCTAGCTCTCGTCTTTTCTCCTCTACTTTCCTCTTTTCCTCCTGATGTATTCGCTTGAGATGTTCAAACTTCTCATGCAGCTGGTGGGAGAAAGAAAGGAAATCTAACCCAGGCTCTGTCTGGCACTAAAACCAATTATGGCCTGCAAAAAGGTATTCTAATGAGGCAGATTACTCCAGAGTAGCCATTACACACCATGTCAGAGTATACACTATGTAAGATATACGTAGAATACTGTAGTCATGTAGGATGTTTCAACTACATAGCAAACGTACAAACATTTCATAGGGTTCCTGTTCAGTTCCTAAACTTTCTCTCATAAAAATCCTTCAGTCTCACAAATTGGGCCCAAAACATGTTCCTAACTCCTCCTCTTCCTCCTCCTTCTCCAATACCACCTCTATCACCATCACATTACTATTTATGAAAGGTCCAAAGAAAATTAAACAGTACAACCCCTGGACACAAGTGCCCATTTTAGCACTAAAAACCTGCATGCTTCTATTCTAATTTAGGTTGCATTAATAGAGTATGTGAAGTATTTGTACTACTTTATAAGTCTTAGTAGGACCACTCTTAGAATACTGCACCCAGTTTTGGTCACCATGTTATAAAAAAAGATGTAGCGACTCTAGAAAGAGTGCAGAAAAGAGCAACAAGGGTGATTAGGGGGCTGGAGGCTAAAATATATGAAGAACAGTCACATTAATTGGATTTGTCTATCTAGTGAGAAGAAAGACTAAGTGTGATATGATAACAGTGTTCCAATATTTGAGGTGTTGTCACAAAGAAGAAGGGGTCAATTATTTTCCAAAGCACCAGAAGGCAAGACATGAAACAATGGATGGAAACTAATTTAGGAGAGACACAACCTAGAATTACAAAGAAATTTCCTAACAGTGAGAACAATTAACCAGTGGAACGGCTTGTGATGGAGTGCTCCATTACTAGAGGCTTTTATGAAGAGACTGGGCAGCCACTTGCCTGGAATGGTATAGGGCCGTGATGGCGAACCTATGGCACGCATGCCACAGGTGGCACGTGGAGCCATATTAGTGGGCACGCCAGCTCAGCTCTGGGGCGCATGCGCGTGCCGGCCAGCTGATTTTCGGGCCTTCTGGGCCCACCAGAAGTAGGGAAACAGGTTGTTTCCTGCCTCTGGAGGGCCTGGGGGCGGGGTGGGGAAGGCCCATTTTTCTTTCTTACCTTGGCTCCAGATCCTCTCTGAAAACAGCCTTTCCCACTCCCTTGGAGGCCCTATGGAGGCTGAAAGGGCCCATTTTCCGACTCCCGGTGGGACAGGAAGTGATGTTTTTTCCTGTCCCCAGCCTCCAGAGACTCCTAGAGAGGCTCCTAGAGACTCCTAGAGAGGCTCCTAGAGACTCCTAGAGAGGTTCTGGAGGCTGGGGACAGCAAAAAATGTCACTTCCTGTCCCACTGAGAGTTGGGAAATGGGCCCTTTCAGCCTCTGTAGGGCCTCCAAGGGAGTGAGAAAGGCTGTTTTCGCCCTTCCCAGATACACAGAGAGGATCTGGAACCAGGTAAGAAAGAAAAACGGGCCTACCAGGCCATCATGTGCCAGGAGCGGGGGGGAGGGGGTTGCGCACGCATGCGTGTGGGCACGTGCACGCACGATCCTCCCCCGTCCTCCCCTCTCCTGGCACGCGATGGCAGAAAGGTTAGCCATCACTGGTATAGGGTCTCCTGCTTGAACAGAAAGTTGGACTAGAAGATCTCCAAGGTCCCTTCCAACTCTGTTATTTTGTTTTTCAGGTAAGATAAATGCATCATGGGTATATTCATTGGGCTCAGAGTTACATGCTTAAAGCCCCTTTATGGAAGCTTCACGACCACTCAAAACAGAGAATCTACAAGTAATTCTGTATAAAATTACTTTTACAATTTCAAGGTAATCCTTCCTTTAAAATATCATTTTTCTGCTTTTATATGCTCCCTTATTCTTAATTACCGTATTTTTTAGAGTATAAGACGCACCTTAGTTTTTGGGAGGAAAATAAGAAAAAAGCTGATTGGCAGGTGGATTGGCCTCCCAGAATACCTCCAATCAGCTGTTCCCAGATGTGAATTTTAGCAACAGATTCCTTGGTTGTGAGCTCTGTGTCTTGCTTTTTTCTCTCTCTCTTTTTTTTCTGCCTCTGAAACTTCTGAAATTCCACTTCAGAAAAAACTTTTTTTCTTGCCTCTGAAAGTCTCCGAAAGAGAACTTTAGAAAAAAAGCCTCTGAAGTTCTGTTTGGGGGCTTCTTTTCTGAAGCTTCATTTCTGATGCTTTTTTCAGCCTCTGAAACCTCCGTTTGAGAAGCTGGGCAGGGCTACATTCGGAGTATAAGACGCACCCAGATTTTCACCCTCTATAAGGTGCATCTTATACTCCGAAAAATACAGTAGCTGGATTATTTCCTTGAGAATGTACAGTATGTAAGCATTCTGTAATGTGGTTAGGTTTATACCAGTTTTTTATATTGCTAAAGTACATCATGTTTGATTGATATAGAGCAGGGGTATCAAACTTGCATTATCATGTCATCGTCACGTGACGTATTGTGACTTTTCCCCCCTTTGCTAAAATGGGGGTGGGGGTGGCCAGCACATGACGCATTTGGCCCGCGGGCCACGAGTTTGACACCCCTGATGTAGAGGAAACAAAACGTTCCTAGTTCTTTTTGTTTTAAATAAATGACTTGCTGCAGAGCACTCTGTGAATTCTATCACAGTTTACTGATTGATACATGGGCAATTCCATCACTGTAAAATAAGCAGGTTCATGGGAAGTAACAATCCTCTATGATGCCATCAATTTGGGGCATTTTAAAACATAACAATTATGTTACCCTTCTCCCTGGGAAATCCGTCTCCTGAGTTTTAAGTCCTATTTAGTTTCACATTGTTGAAACAAAACAAAATTGAATAAATTAAAGAAATGGCAGGACTCTTAAGCTTTAACATCTACAGTGAGATGGGTGGCAAACAAATTTAATAAATAAATAACCAACATCTTATTACAAGCATTTGCATTGCATATATATGCCTACCCACACATGTATATAAGTGCTTTGTGTCCTAATGCTAAATTTCCAGAGGGATTTAATGGATCTACCAGTGGGAAGAGAATATTAGGCCAGTTTAACCTGCTTAATATTAGAAAGATCTGGAAATTCCCCTTGATCAATACAGGCAAAACAAAAAGAAAAACTCAGTCCTATCTAACGTAGGAATTTGCCTAGTAGAGTCATTGTCTGCCATACTCACTTCTCTCTCCTTTTCTTTTAGTTCTGACTCCGTCTCCTTGACCTTGTTCACAAACATCTGTCTCATTTCTTCCTCTTTTTTTTGCAATTCACAAAGGAACTCTTTTCTTTTGGTCTCATACGTTTCTTGAAGGCTGGTGGAAAAAGCAAGTTCCAAATTGTCCAGACATTAAAAGAAAGATTTAAGATAAACTATTCAAGGTCACACACGTCTGAAAATGCTTTTTTTTTTATACCCCATGAAAAAATTTCCAGGTGTCAGAAAGGGAAAATATCAACAGAGAGAAAACATGAAGAGATATCATGTCTACCCCACACACTGAAGGTAAAACTCCCACAGACCCCAAGAGAACATCCAATTTTCACAATTCCCTGTAGTGTATTATTGGGTGGAAAAAGAAGAAAGGTAAGACTTTCTTACCTGAATGGCTGGCTGTCAGGATCTGTATCCTTGAAGCCCATTTCTTCTAGCTTACACCGCCTATAAAGCTCGTAATGGCGAGCATGAGTTTGTTCTCGCAGGTCTTCCATGTTAACCCGGATCAGCATTTCCCGCAGCTTCATAAAGTCACAGTGGCTTTCATTTTCAACTATTTAAACAAAGAGCAGATGTGAAAACACATAGGAGAAAATGACTGGTTCACATAGAGGCAAGCATCTGCACCAGTGGTGGGTTTCGAAATTTTTTACTACCAGTTCTGTGGGTGTGGGCATGGCATGGCATGGTGGGCGTGGCTTGGTGGGCATGGCAGGGGAAAGATAATGTAAAATCTTCATTCCCACCCCACTCCAGGGGAAGATTAAGGCAAAATATATGTTTAAATTATATATTTATACATTTATGTATTTTATGTATACATATTTATGTATTTTACATTTTATTGGGTTTGTTTTATTTCTTGTGAGCCGCCCTGAGTCCTACGGAGATAGGGCAGCATACAAATTATATTAATTAAATAAATAAATAAATAAATAAATAAATAAATAAAATCCCTATTTCCTCCCAATCAGCTGGGACTTGGGAGGCAGAGAATAGATGGGGGTGGGGCCAGTCAGAATTTTTACTACCGGTTCTCCAAACTACTCAAAATTTCCACTACCGGTTCTCCAGAACTGGTCAGAACCTGCTGAAACCCACCTCTGATCTGCACATGTGCACGTGTGCGCACGCGCGCACACACATACACACACACACTCTCTCTCCTCTTGCAGGATTAATGCAGCATTGGTATGAAAACAGCATCCTCCAGAAAAGTAAAAGTGTTGGAAGAGAGAGATTAGAAACGATGATAGACTGCAGGCTCCTGTGTATATTTTGCTCAGAAGTTCATCACTCACTTCAAAAGGGCTCTGCTCCCTTGCAGCTGTGTTGAAAGAGGTGCTTTGCAATGTGTGGGAACACAAACAAACCAACTCTATTTGAATCGTTAAAGCAATCATGTGGAAGCCTCTGAAACGTGACATCTCTGCTTGGCTGAACAGCAGAGACTGATTTATTTATCCAGCATTTGTTGCAAATCATTTTGGAAATCCTATTCTTCATAGGATTTCACTGGAAGCTACTTTTCAGAACCAACTACAAACATTAAAATCAAATCATGTATTGGTGTTATTAAACTGTTACACCCCTTCCTTCTTTTTACTTAATGTGTTCAAACATTTGTATGCCCTTCCACAGATATTAGTTTGGTATATTGTTTGGGTTTTTTTATACAAGTTTTATTGGTCGCCCCCCCCACATTTACCCACATCTTTCTTTAACAGAGCATTGGCCATATCTTATCTTATACAATTAATCAAATTCAAATACATTTTACTCAATTACAGTTTTTGCCAAAATCTTTTCCCCCTTTTTTTATCATGTCTCAATATTTCTATGCTTGCTTACATAAACAACATCTTCATTTGCCCTTAAAATCTAATTATTGCCATTTATTCATATTTGTTCTCTTTTATTCTTTAAACAATTCATTCTTGATCTTAATATCTTACTGTATTTGTTCGGGATTGCCTTTCTTCCATTTCATCTTTTTTATTGTACAGCAATCTTTCTCCTCAAACCTACCACCTCTCTCTTTTCTTTTCTTTCCTTCTTACTTTCAAACATTTGTATGCCCTTCCACAGATATTAGTTTGGTATATTGTTTAATGTGGTGACCTAGAAGCCAGGAGACTCTGAATTCTGTTCCGCGTCAGGCACAAAAGCAGCTGGCGCGCTTTCACAATGATTTTGGACCAGTCATTGTTTCTCAGATCAACCTACCATACAGGGTTGTTGTTGTGGAGGGAAATAGGAGGAGGAAGGAGTATTAGCTATGTTTGCCACCTTGACAAACTTAAAAAGTAATATAGATGGGATAAAACGCAAATAAATAAAATTTTTAGGATAGTTAAACCATCAAACCTTGTAATAGGAAACAGTGGCAAAAGAATAAATAATCTATTCCTCTGTGCCATCTCTGCGCTGATGTGGCACAGTGGTTAGAGGGCAGTACTGCAGGCTACTTCTGCGTACTGCCGGCTGCCTGCAGTTCGGCAGTTCAAATCTCACCGGTTCAAGGTTGACTCAGCCTTCCATCCTTCGAGGTGGGTAAAATGAGGGCTCAGATTATTGGGGGCAATAGGCTGACTTTGTAAACCACTTAGAGAGGGCTGTAAAAGCACTGTGAAGTGGTATATAAGTCTAAATGCTATTGCTATTGCTATTAAATATTAAAATGTATTAGAGCCCAATCCACAGGTGAATATAAAAAAAATAACACTTAAGGCAGCAACAACAACAATAACAAAAATGCTAGTGAAATGATCTTTCTGATTGATTGTTTCATGACTATGACATTCATTGGCATCCCAAAATTATGTTTTCATAAGCCCACTCCTTGTAATATTTATTGAGTGGGCACTATTCTTTTATTCAAATACACACAAACCTAGACACACATATATATGGGTTAGCCAAAATAGATAAAAAGATGGATAATTGACAGGTGAATAAATATGTCAAAGCCAGTCTAAACATCTGGCTCACTGTGCAATCAGCCATAAGAACAGCAGCAGCAATAAATATTCTTTAGCAACCTACAACATACAAGGATTTCAGCCACTGTTAAACATGTCTGGAGTCCCAACTTACCTTGTACAACACCCCATGGATACTGCCGAGCTCTCACCATTTTATTTCCCACTTTTACTTCTTCTGTGCTTCCCACAACAGCAAATGGCAGATGAGCCTTTGAGGAAAAAATATAACTATGCAATTCAGGGCAAAACAATAGAACTGTCCAAAAGGATTTTTTTTTTTTACTTTTAATGCAAATTTCCTAATAGAAAATATTTTTTAAAAATGTCTATGGAATCAGCATGATGTTAAGACAGGACTGCCAGGACAAACAAAACAAAGCCTAATTTTTGAAAGATTATTATTCTACAACCCATTAAATAAAAGGCTACTCCTGAATTTGCAATAAAATCATGTATGGAATTTTTAAATCCACCAGTTTTGTGAACAATGTTTTTGGCACTCTTTACATACTGCATTCCACATCTTTATATCCACACAGAAGTTTATTTTGAGCAATCATAGATAGAAGAATGAGCCAAACAGAACAAACCCTTGTTTTTACAAATCATGCTAAACAATAGTTTGCTATTCTAGTTACTTGCAGAAATAGCTAAAATAGAGAATAGCCAGGAGATTTTTCTGCCTCATAGCATGTTGTCAGATTAAGCTAGGGCCGATAATTTTCTCATTTCTACAAGGTAAATTCTATAGGGGATACCAGGTCTAAGTAGATCTTCCCCTAATATATAAATTTCCAGGAAGACCAAACAATTCCTATATGAACCATCTTTTGGAAAATTCGAAACCTTTTATTACTTGTGCAATAGCCAAATCCTGTATTGCAATGATGAAAATAAGATATAGCTGCTCACAGACGTAACCACTTCTGTTTTATTCATCACATCAAGTTTAACATGTTAGCTGTCTTGTTTTTAGGTAATATATATGTACACTTGCAGAGGTAATTATAGTACTGTACAGTATATTACATTTTTATTTGGTATTTTATCTTTTTGATGCTGGTGTGTTATCTCAGCTATTTGATTTTACTTTTGCATTGCATTTTTTAAAAAATGTGCTCATCACTGATCAAATTAAGAGTATTTCTTTTCTTCCACTTCTTGTGGGATTATTGCAAGAAATTTGAATTCCAAGCTAAATGGGATATAATGTAATACACTAATAAACGGGGAGGGGGGAGTCAATTTGTTATAGTGGCTAAGGCGCTGGATTAGAAATCGGAAGACTGTGGCTTTTAGCATAAGCCACCTCACAAGATTGTTACTGAGGAGAAATAGGCAGTGGGACATTTTCTATGATGTCTAGAGTTGTGCAAAGCAGACAAGTTATAAATGTAATAATAAATTAAAAAAGAAATGGAAACATTTTGCTCTCTCAGATGTTGGCAGATAACAATATCATTTTTCTTTCTCCTCCTTTTCCCTTATCTAAAGAGAGTAGTTATATCCATCAATCTGCCTGATGTTTTGCTCCAACACAATATATGCCAAAAAATATTTCAATATTCTCAATCTAAAGTGTATCCAAGAATATGAAGGACTTTATAGTGACTTTCCAGACTGCATTACAAATTCATATTCCATTCTAAACATACATTGAACATGAAATGTATCAAGGAAGAAGGATTATATTCCACACCAAATGACTGGATTGTCTTAAATGGCAACCACTCTAGACTGAGAGAATGCCACTGCTTCCTTGCATTTCCATTGGAGTAATGGAAGGAATAAACTCTATTATAATGGCATTCACCAGGTAACACAACATACAGTTTCTCAGGGCCACTGCTATAAATACAGAAGCATAGAAAGTCTACAGAAGAAGCATGTTACTTACATTCATCACAGAGTTGATTTCAGATACAGCATCATCATCAGTAGGGAACTGATAAATCTGTACTCCGTTACTGACCAGTTCGCTCATGATCTTAATCTTAAACTTGTGCAATTCACTCTTGGAAATAGTGTCAGCCTTAGCAATGATGGGAATAATGTTCACCTGGAGAGCAGTGAAAAAACAAGAAATAACTGAGCTTTCTGTAATCAGTCATGAATTAGCTACAGAATGGATTAATGCCAGCTAGGAGTGCAGGCAGAATTAAACATTAAATGACAGTGGCTAGAAAATGAATGTAAAAAGATATGGACAAACTGAGATATGAACAAGTTCAGAGAAGGGCTATCAAGATGTAAAGGAACTGGAAACTAAGCAATGAAGAATAGTGAAAAGAGCTGTATATGTTTAGCTTACAGAAACAATGATTGGGAAAACATATAACTGTCTGTAAATTCTTGTAAAGGATTTGTTTGCTGTTGTCCTGATAGACAGGATCTGAATCCGTTAAGAAAACGTAATCTAACATTTATTTGTTTGATTATTTATCAAATTTATATAGAAGCCCATCTCACCAAAGGCAACTCTGGGTAGGGCACAATAGATAAAAAGCAAGAGTATATAAATAAATAAATAAAGACCATAGTAATAAATACCTCAAAAATCCAGAAATACAACTCATAGTTGAAAGAAATAAATAAAAATGTGAAGAGGTTAGGGCTAGATGATTTCTGAAGCAAATTAACTCTACACTTTTTCACAATTCTTCATAACATAAAATAAATTTAATTTAACAATAAAAGTGTGAATTAAATAGTTATTTATAAATGCAGCTTAAGTTATATCTCTCTTATTCTCTTTTGCAAGTTATTTCATTTTAGGTTTTGTTGTTGTTGTTGTTGTTCAGGGAAAATATGAGGAATGCATGAGATTTGATAAAAACATGTGGCCTTAAAAAACATTCAGCAACACAGGCTGACCAAAAATAAATAACATCCTTTTTGCTGAATATTAATTGCTTTTGTTGGCACATCAAAAGAAAGGACAGGTGCAAAAATGCACAGATTATGAAGCAAGCAAGCAAGGTTTTTTAAAAAGAACATCATCCACTCTAGAGAAACATCTCCCTACTCTAATAAACAAGCTTACTTGTTTCATTCAGTCTAGAATTCTGGGAGTTGCTGAGGTTGGGAAACGCTGGTCTAGACAAGTGTGGTCTTTTTCAACTCTGAAGAAGGGAATTGACCGACTATGTCTTCTGCTGAGTGATCCTGCCCTACCTTGATCCAGACTTCCCTACCAGGATGCATCTTGACTCAAAATAGTAAACTGCTCTCCCAAGCAAAAAGTGGGATGATTCAATCTGGATACTGGAGACAGGTTGCTGAACATGGACAGAAAGTTTCTTTTTTCTTTTTGCCTCTAGATCGAATGAATTTGGACCTGTCGCATCAGTTTTTCAAAGGAAAGTGACATCGCAATCTAGGACACCTCTTCAAAGGGACGTTTCAATCAAAGCTTGGTGAAATCATGCTGCCCCTTTGAATACCACATACACACTCAACTGAATTGAAAGGGGAAAGTAGCATTTGTAACCACAATAAATTTCAAGTTCATGCCGAACCCAGTCCCTTCAGATGCTCTGGCCTGGAGCTTCCAGCAGCCATAATTGGCATGGCCAAAGGTCTAACATGACAGGAGCTATAACTCCACAAAATCTACAGGATACCTTCATTAACTGATCCTCGACCAAAGCAATAATACAAAATAAAACTCCTGTAAAAATGCTCTGCAACTGATTAAATACATTTTATCATAGAGTTTAATCTATTTGCACACCTGAATCTGCAGAATGTTTTTGGATATGCTCAGTAAAATGTATTAACAAATAATTAGTTAATATCTTTCATTTTAACAACGTCTAACCCATCCCTAATAACCCATCCCTAACCCATCATATTTACTAATCTGATATCAGAATGGAATACTTATCCATGTCCTTGAACCTTAAGCAGTACAAGCCAGTTCTTCAATTATCTTTGATATAAGTTCTATGGTTGCTTCAAGAAATACAACATTTTGGATGATTGCCTGAAATTTTGACAAGATATTTCTCCCTCTTGTTCATACAACTGTTGGACCTGAACAACAGGAAGATGGTAATAAAATGGTGATGACCTATGAAGATTAAGAACTCAAATTAAAGGCCCTTTGGAATTGAATGAACTGATTCAGCTCCAGTGAGTTATTCTGGCTCCAACTGATTGATTTAATCTATTGAATTATCCAGTTTTGGTTGCCACAATGTAAAAAAGATGTTGGGACTCTAGAAAGAGTGCAGAGAAAAAGAAAGATGATTAGGGAACTGGAGGCTAAATATAAAGAATGGTTGCTGGAATTGGGTATGTCTAGTTTGACAAAAAGGAGGACTAGGGATGACATGATAGCAGTGTTCTAATATCTCAGGGGCTGCCACAAAGAAGAGGGAATCAAGCTACTTGCCTCCAGAAGTTGTGAATGCTCCAACACTGGAAGTTTTTAAGAAGAGATTGAATAACTATTTGTCTGAAATGGTATAGGGTTTCCTGCCTGAGAAGGGGTTTGGACTAGAAGACCTCCAAGATCCATTCTATTCCTATTCCTATTCCTATTCCTATTCCTATTCCTATTCCTATTCCTATTCCTATTCCTATTCCTATTCCTATTCCTATTCCTATTCCTAGGGCTGCAGTCTAATGAAACCACCTCAGCTGCTTTCAGCTCTCTTCTTTCCTGGGTCTTTGCAGGATCAGCCACCACATTATTGATGGATGCAGTGCTCAATCTTTCCATAATTTTCTTGGGCAGTAAACACAATTTTCATGCATGCATGCATGCATGCATGCATTCATTCATTCATTCATTCATTCATTCATTCATTCATTCATTCATTCATTCATTCATTCATGTTTCTAGACTGCACATCTCCTTCAAGGACTGTGTAGGGCTGGGGAGGCTTGTATCTGTCCTCTTTCCTACTTTTGCTGGCTTAGATGGGATGCAGGAACTCCTTGAGAGAGGCTCAGAGTCTTTCTGGGATCACACCCTGCTGCTCAGGCAGATGGTACTGCTCATGCTCCCATTTATTAGCTCTTTCTTCCCTTTCCCTTGGACATGACACTGTTTTGGCTCCTCTTTCCTGCTGCCATTTCGGATACTGATAAGGTGAATGGGAATCTGCATGGATGCTAGGCCATCACTTTTCAATGATGCTTGGGAAACCACTGATCTCCTTGAAAACGTAAAACCAAAAACTGAAGGGGAAGGTTAAGAAGAATGTTCCTCTCAGTCTTGCTTTTTCACTAAGTGCTAATGCTAATCTTTTCAGCTCCAATGATTCGTTGAATGAAAATATGAATACTACCAGGTTGCAGATAGCACTACACTCTATAATGATATATCTAACTGGTCCTCCAAAACCAGATATGCAGAAAATAATCTTTATATATAATCCTCAACTTACAAACATTCATTTAATGATGATTCTAAGTTACAATGGCACTGGAAGAAGTTATTTTCAACCTGTCCTCGATATTATGACTGTTGTACATCTCCTATGGTCACAACTGTGATTTGGGTACTTGGCAACCGACTTTCATTTATGGCCTACTACAGCCACAGGGTCATGATTTGCAACCTTCCCAGGCAGCTTTTGACAAATAAAGTCAATGGGAGCAGCTGGATTTGTTTAATGACCATGTGATTCACGTAATGACCACAATAAAATGTTCATAAAATCATGTCTGGTCACATGATGAAATGACCATATCATTTAATGACCAAAATTCCAATCACAATTTTGGTCATATGACCAGGACTCCCTGTACATCATTGAGGACTTGAGGTGAGGAAGAAATAAAATGAAAAAGAAGGAGAAAATTGTAGTCCAGTCCTTCTGACTTCCAACTCAACTATCAGTCACAGACATTACGCATGTCACATGTAGGCAATTTGGACTCCAAAAGATGGATCCAATCTTTTCATAAATGCAACATGCACATATGGCAAGAGATTATTTCCAGATATCTATCAGATATCTTGTAGCATATCTTGACCACCATGGAGAACTTCCTGACTGCAGAAGAGCTTTTCTGAAGATCCAAGAAAAGCAAAACTCCTGTTTTCCTGCATATGGTATTTCATATCTCAGCTTTTGCCTTTAACATCCTGGAAAGCTTTATGAAGTAATAGAATTTGGAAACAGTTGGCAACCAATAAACGTGTTAACACTTCTTATAGGAAATTGCTTGACTTTTCATTCACTGGCTTCCCAATTAGTTTTACAAAATGGGTATGTTTAGTTTTTATCCTGTTAAGTGAGAAAAATGTTTGTGTGTGCCAAAAAAGAAAAAAAAATCTACCAGCAGGAAGTCTAAAAGCAGCCTTATAAAAAGAATCACACCACTTCACTGAAATTAAGCTTCATGTTGAACACCTGGCCACATACACAACAGTGAAAATTGCTTTCCTAATTTTCTACAGAAACAAAAACACAATGATATCCAGCAAATTCCAATGGATGGATGCCCAGAATCATAAGAGTTGGAAGATCATAGAAGTCACCTAATTCAATTCCTCTGTTGTGGCTCTTACACTCTAGAATTACATCCCTCCAGAGATCCAGATCAGTCCAATCCTCATGACACACAGGAAACTATTAAAGACCTGGCTCTTCTCCCACATTTTGGGGCAGAAAGAAGGTTGAGCCTCTGCTGGCTCATTTTATTTGGTTATAGCTTCTTTCTGAGGCTGTTCATGATTCTTTGTGTTTTGCTTTTATTTTTATTTATTTTTTACTTTTAATTGTAAGCAACCCAGAGTTGCTAGGAATTGGAAGGTCTACAGGTTGTGTATACAAATAAATAAACTCCCTGCCCTGTGCAGGATCTACTAGAGCATTATTTCTCAACCTCAGTATTTCTGACATACGATCATCCAATGGCTTTTTGAAGATCTCTGGTAAAGAAGAACTCATCACATAATGCGGCAGCTTGTTCCACTGGTTGACAGTTCACGCAGTCACAAAGCCCCTCATAGTATCTAACTAAACTACCTTCCTACCGTCCCTGTAGTTTTAACCCTCTGATTCTGATCGTGCTCTCTGAGGCAACGGAGAGGAATTTCACTTCTTTTCCTACATGACAGCCTTCCAAATATTTGAAGACTGCTATCATATGTCTCCTCTTTTCTGTAGACCAAATATAGTCAGATTTTTTTAACCATTCGTCATGGGGTCTGGTTTTTCCAAAACCTTCACTAGCTTGATTGTGCTCTTCTGAACTTGTCCCAATCTGTTATTGTCCTTTGGGAACTGTGGTGCCCAAAGCTGGACATGGAGATCTCAACAGAGAATAAAAGCTGGGAAGAATTACTTTTCATGACCCAGACTTTATGTTCTGGTTAATGTACTCCACAATAATATTCGTCTTTTTAATAGCTGGATCATACTGCTTGTCTTTAACAAAGACACCCAGATCTTATTTTTTTTCTTTTTACAGTGAGGAAATTACCATCTCTGGCTAGAATACAAAAAAAAACTATATATAAATAAATTATGTGAATCTGCAGAGGTTCTGGAGTTACTTTTATCAAGTAGCAATTTGCTATAGCACAAACGGATGTTTGGTTTCAGATCCAACTCAGCTACTCTAAAAAAAAAAAAAAAATCAGAGCAAACTAGGTAAATTTTTATCATATAATTTGCTGGAGATCTCCTAGCAGGAAATCCACTACTCTTAAATATACATCAGTTTGAAGTCTCGTGACATCTTATAGTCTTTTCAGCTTTATCTTCCTGTACTATTTCTTGACTTTAGAGTTTAAATCCTGAGCTCTGGAAATATCACAAGGAAAAACCAAGCCTGGAGCTAGAACAAAAATGCACACCTTTCTATTCTCATTTAACAAGAGTCAGTCACAAAAGTCGTTCTAAAGAGGCAAGTATTTGGCACTATATATATACACAAGTTCCATTTGAACAGTAAAGCAGGAAAGCTGCTAACATTCTCTTATTCCTTATGAACTGCTAGAGGTGGATCAGTTCCAGTTTGACTAGTTTGTTTCAACTGCAATTCCAACCACCTATTATTTAACTGAGGAATTCAGCTTTGAAGATGAGTTTTTGGCTGCCTGGAAGTAATTAGATACAGGAGGCAGCAGCTGGTTTGGTTATGAGTTCAGCTGCACACAGATGCACAATGGAAGAGCGGGCTGGGTAAAAAGGTCACCCACTGATGAAGTCACACTTCTGAACAAGATTCCTTAATATCATAGAAAATCCAGACAGTCTGCTCAAGTTTTACATCATCCTGCTGATTCTGCTGAACTGTTGAGCATTGGAACATAATGCCAGATGCTTAATAAAATATAAATCTTTGCTGAGAAGATGTCTGATCTCCAGCCAGTACATGACATGGGTCTCAGAAGAGGAAAGCATCAGGACAAGAAAAAGAAATTAAGTAGAAAAGAAATTCCTACTTAATTAAATGTCAAATATTTTCATTTTTCAATCTTTCCCATAACTTTCTTTATTTCTTGTCTACCACAGCAGATTCCTCAAAGAAACCAAATTCAAAATAATAGCTGCATCTTTAAGAAAAGACCAGTTTATTATTTGGGGGAGTATTCACATTGCTTGAGTTGGGCAGAAATAAGGAAGAGCCAAATATAATAGAAGTTTTGTGGTAGAGGTTTACGTCCCTAGTTTTCCCCTGTTTTATAACTCATTTCTGATCTGTTGTTTTGATGCAAGATCAATTATTTAAACCCACATCCTTCCTCACCTGGGACTCTTTAGGGCCAGCCCCCAGAATTAAAGCACAGAAAAAAGAAGATAGAGCCAAAAACAGCCCAAGGTTCACCTAGAGATAAGCCTTGGGCCCATTACATCCATGGGAATGAGGTTTATGGGATTCTCCTCTGTAATCCATATCAGGATTAAGCAAAACAAGGATTAAGATTGTGCTCTTCTCCTCTTCAGCAGAAAATCTCCCAAAATATCTGGAGAAGTTTTATGACCTAAGTCGAACTTGAACATTGTTAATGCTTACCAAGTGACAGGAGGATTTCATATTATATGAAAGTTTTCAATTACTACCACGTCCGCTGATATCTCCAGTAGTCAGATTGATATGTGCATGACCCCATACTACATCAAATCTCACCAAGAGTAAGGAAATAATCATATCCAGAAATCTACAGTCATATACAAATGCATTGGTCAACAGCTACATATCCAACATGCAGCCCAACTGCAAAATCAATAGCATATTAGGTAACAAAATCTACGGTGAATGAACTTCTGGGTTGCCTCTAGAAGTTGTGGATGCTCCATCACTGGAGGTTTTTAAGAAAAGAGTGGACAGCCATTCATTTGAAATGGTGTAGGGCCTCCTGCTTGAGCAGGAGGTTGGGCTAAAAGACCTCCAAGGTCCTTTCCAACTATATTGCTACTCTGTTTTGAAGTAGTACTGCTTAAAATCCAGACCACTAGATGACAGCAAAGAGTTAAGGGATTTCTTCACTTCTTTGCTAATATCTATTGGTTGGATTTTTAAAACCCGTATCTGGTTCTCCTAGGACAGTGATTATGAACTATGTCATGTGTGTCACAGGCAACACTGGCAACACTGCACGTCATATTTGGTGACATGTCAGGCCTCCCTCTGAAAGTGGTACAAGAGGACTCTGTTCTTGTACACCTTCTGGAGTCTCTGAAAATCACGTGAGAACAGGGAGTGCTTTCCACCCTTTTTAGAAGCTACAAGGCCATGCAAGAGCATTTTCCAGTGTCCAGGTTGTCTGTCAGAGATAGGAATTTCAAATAAATTTACAATGATGTATTTATTTATTAAATGTTAAGTTTATATAATTCATTGCTCTTTGTTATTGTTTCTCTTTTGTCCATCTCTGTGTGTTGGTGTCTTGACACGCCAGCAGAATCAAAAAGTGGGCACTTTTTTTAAATTTTTGATACGCCAAGCCCAAATGGTTTGTCTTCATTGTCCTCAGATGAGGAACCTCATCAGGATTTCCTAGCAAATTAGATGCTGCTGCTGCTATTTAGAAATAGCTCTGGGTTTGTTTGTTTGTTTGTTTGTTTGTTTGTTTGTTTGTTTGTTTTACCTTTTAAAAGGTCACTCATTGGGATGGGCATTATGATTGTTTTTTTGTGTGTGCACATGAATCTCTTTGCATCAATGACCTTTATAGTGTGCCTCCAGTTCTCCTCACAATGTGAACTTCAGAAGATCAGCTGTTCCTCTTTGATCACCATGTAATAAATTAAATTACTAGTTGTCAGCTAGGTTCCCTGAACACAGGCAGCATGGGAACAATTGGCAATTGCCAGTGTTCTGAGGGGGCTCTATGTTTGACTACCACATCACAAAAAGGCTGCTGCTTCAGATGCTCTCACAACAATATTTTATATCCTATTGGCTTCGACATCAGAACATCTGCATCTCATAGAACCTGAATCCCGGGCTTTATCTCTCTGCTACTCGTCCAGTGCTATGTTTTCCACCCAGCTGTTGAAATGTTCTAAGGACAGCAATGACTCATCTCCACATTACAATCACCCTCACTTTCTTTTGTTCACATCTCAGTAGGATGCAGCTTGTAATGCTGAAGCTGCACCATCATTTTTGAATTGTGAAAGTAATGGAAAAACAGTCAACAGTTTGGTTAAAATGATTCCAATAAAGTGAAGATAGTCTCATAAAGTGAAGGAGTCTCATGAAAACTGGGAAGAGTATGTTTATACAGTTCTACTGAGGGGAGGTATAAAAGAACATCTTTTGATAAAGGGAAGGGTCAAGGTTTTTGTTGAAATTATCTTACATTCATTTATGCTTTCAGACAACTGAAGGAAAACTCCTGATCAAGTGCATCATTAAGATTGATAATAAGTAAGAAGGGAGAGAGGTATACAAAAATAAGAGCCAATACTTGTGATGATGTGGGAATACTTACTTTACTATCCAGCTTTTTCATGGTCACCAGATCCAAGGACTTCAAGGAATGGCCGGTTGGGGTGATAAAATAAAGGCAGACATGGATTCTTGTATCGTGATAGTTAAAAAGGGAACGCCGGATTTTTAGCTCTTCTTGCAAATAATTTTCAAACTGCGTGTCAATGTAATCTACTATTGGCCTGTAACTAAAAACGAATTCCATTAGCAACTTGAATGGTACCATTCATGAAAACTGACTAAACACGTTCAACATGACTGCAACGTTTCTATCCACCAAACCTTCATAAAATCTGAGTAAAAGAGATGCTGACTGTCTGAAACAGATTAAACCAAAAGACTGTGCATGTACAAAGTGCTAAACTAGTTCTGAACTGGTGCTGAATTTCACCAAAAACCTTGCAATATTGGCTGCTTTGGTGCACACCCGAGAATTGTAATCTGACAGTATCTGGCAATCATGCATTCTATTTTTTACAGCAATTACAGTTAGCCCTAAATCGACTACAGGAAGTCCTCGACTTATGACCACAATTGAGCCCAAAATTGCTGTTGTTAAGTGAGACATTTGTTAAGTGAGTTTTGCCGCATTTTATGACTTTTCTTGCCACAATTGTTAAGTGAATCATTGCAGTTGATAAATTAGCAACCCAGTTGTTAAGTGAATCTGGCTTCCCCATTGACTTTGCTTCTGAGAGGGTCACAAAAGGTGATCACAGGACCTTGGGGAATAGCAACGGTCATAAATATGAAGCAGTTGCCAAGCAACTGAATCTTGATCTCATGATCACGGGGATGCTGCAAAGGTCGTAACAGTGAAAAATGGTGATAAGTCACTTTTTTTTCAGTGCCGTTGTAATTTTGAACAGTCACTAAATGAACTGTTTGTTGTAAGTCAAGGACTAGCTGTACCCCCGAACTACAGATTGATTACACAGAAGTAACTGGAATGCCCTTCTACAAGCAGTCAATACTTTTCCTGTTGCGCAACTTCCTCCTCGTGTGCACCTTCTACTCAGACAACAATGACCTTTGGCTGCTTCGTTTTGTGAATGAAGATTTGCACACATAATGCAGCCACTGGAAATCCTGGAAATTCACAGAGTGACTTTGGACAAATCAATCTCCCGGATCAACCTATTTTATGAGATTGTTAAAAGGATAAAACCTGAAAGAGGGAGTGTTTGATGACAATTTGCCTCCAGAAGTTGTGAATGCTTGCAACACTGGAAGTTTTTAAGAAAAGGTTGGATAACCATTTGTGTGAAGTGGTGTAGGGTTTCCTGCCTAAGCACGGGGTTGGACTAGAAGACCTCCAAGGTCCCTTCCAACTCTGTTATTCTAAATTCTAAATGACCTAATCTCCTGGAGCAAAGGCTGGATATAAATCCCATGATTAAATGAACACTTTGGGGACACACAAACAACTTGACTGGAGAAGTTCCTTGCAATAAAAGTAGCAAGCATATCTCATCAATTTCAGGTCCTAAAAACCTTAGCTTTACATTCTCCTTTAGATTAGTATTTGATTCTCAAGTGCTTTACAAATCAAATCATGGATTAACTGCAGAAACTTCAGTCTAGGGCATTTTCTACGTTTTGACTTGAAATACAAGTTTTGCTGTACATGAAACCCACCAGTTAGAGAACCCCGGAAGTCATTCAGAACCTCTGGGAATTGAGCACCATGGAAGCCAAAGTCAGAATTAAATAACCCCTGTTTTCCTATGATGATCCTCTGGGAATCTCACATGTAGGATATGAAAACAACAGCTCTCCCCTGTTGCTGTTTAGCATTGGAACAAAAGAGCAGATACTAGCACCCCTGTCTTTATTTTTGAAGGAAGTGGTATAGCAGCTCTCAAATGAAATGAACACAACTGATTCCAGCCAACTAATTTTGTGGGGAAATGGGAGGAAGGGAATCAGGATATCTGAGGGAAAAAGAGCTCCAAAGCCTCACCCTTTCATCTTCCTTTCAACATATGCACAACCCAGCAATTTACATTAGAACCAGTGGAGAAATTGAGAATGACTATAACTTGCAAGCTCAGAATCAAAAAAAAGTAGAGCTTTCATTAACTCTTTAGTTTCCTACCAAGTTTCATGGAAATGTTATTAAATCTGGCAACTGTATGGATAATGTTACAGCTAAGCCACAAGGTGGCAATGGATTTTATTTTATCTGGCTGACATCTGAAATTTCCTATTTCTGTTTTCTCTTCTTCCCGACTGCTGTGTCGTCTAAGCTTTCCATTGCAGATATTATAAGCAGCTGATCACAATAAATAAAGTCCTGTATTCCAGGTGGAATATACACATCCTTTCCCCATCAAAACAATGCATATGTTTCTGGACCAAACTGGAAAGTGACTTGCCTTTCATCTTTATTTATCTGATCTCCAAATCCGACAGCATCTACAATGGTCAGTTTCAGGTGGACATTGCTTTCCTGCAGATCATACGTCTGTGGCCGTAAACGGACTGTGTGCTCATAGTGACTAGCTTCCTCTGTCTCAAATGTTGTGTTAAAAAGAGTGTTCATCAGGGTAGATTTCCCGATGCCGGTTTCACCTAAAAAAATATTAAAATGTTTATTCCAACAGTGATCAACAAATGCTAAAAAAAAAAAAAGAAAAAAGAAAATAGCATCATGAAGAAACATAATACTATTTTTTTCACATTTAAATTTTCAGCAATTTATAAAGTTTAGTCCTTTGTACTATGGAGCTGGGATACTTTTCCAGATATAAAATGGAAAAGCATCAAAACATCAGAAAGAGTAATGCAAAAACTTCAGTGCCAGAATAGTATTCTACTTTTCATTATGACAAATATATTCCTATGTTTTTTTTTTAAAAAAATGCTTTAAAATTATAGTTAATGGCAAAAACATCCTTTCAGGAATTTCTGCACATTTTAATACTTTATTATCTATCTATCTATCTATCTATCTATCTATCTATCTATCTATCTATCTAATTTATATAGCTGCCCATCTCAACAAAGGTGACTTTGAGTGGCACACAGCAGATGAAAAAACTAGCAAATACAAATATAAGAATCATAAAAACACATGGACAAGCACAAAAAATTCTTGATGGGGCTAAGTTAGAAGATCACATGAGTATAGAAATGAATAGAAAATGAATCTAGAAATATTTGGATATGGCAGGCAACTACTTCATGCATGTGCAAGAAAAACAGAATAATAGAGTTGGAAGGAACCTTGGAGGTCATCTAGCTCAACCTCCTGCTTAAGCATTTCAGACAAGTGGCTGTCCAGTCTCTTCTTAAAAATCTCCAGTGATGGAATATCCACAATTTCTTAAGGCAAGCTCTTCTACTGGTTAATTGTTCTCACTGTCAGGAAATTTCTCCTTACTTCTAGGTTAGTTCTCTCCTTGATTAGTTTCCATCCATTACTTCTTAACCTGCCTTCTCATCCTTTGAAGAAAAGGGTGACCTCCTTTTCTTTGTGGCAGCCTCTTAGATATTGGAACACTGATACCATGTCATCCCCATTCCTTCTTTTCATTAAACTAAACTTTCATTAAAGAAAGGAACTGAATTATTGGAGTGGCACCAAAGAACAATAAAAGGACAAAGAAACATTCATAACTGGCCCAGATTGTCTATACAGCAATCCATCTCCATGTATTTGTTCAAGTGATCACTGTTGAATGCAGAACATAGCAAGAAACTTAAACTGTGAGGGAGGAGTTTAAAACTAAAACTTAAAATGTTCCTCTTCATAAAGGCATCACATTACATCTTGTGAAAGACTATAAAGACCAGCAAGTGAAAGCTGAAACTTAAAAATGCAAATATCTTTTAAAACACATCTTAAATCATGTAAGATTTTTTTCCAGAAATAAAAAATATTTTAGGTGTCTAAAACTAAACAGTTTGTTTAACAAGTCATTAAATATTGTAAACCCACAATTTCTATACATCACAAGCAGGGTGGATTTGATTTAAATCGAGTTGATTTAAATCACAATTTAAATCATGATTTAAATCACTAGTAAAAAGGCTTGATTTAAATCAACTCGATTTAAATCATAATTTTTAAAGAGCAACTGTCATCTCTGCTACTCCTTTGACCCACTGTTGACTCACCGATAGTCCCAGTGTTGCAGAATATACAGCCTCATGCTACATAACTAAGCGCCATTTCATGCTGAATAAACTAAATTATTTAGTTAATTTAAATAGAAAACTATCTTACGATAGATTTTTACCCCAAAAGTTTTTTATTAAAATAAATTCGATAAAAATCAAAAAAATCCAATTTAAATAAAAAAAATCCAATTTAAATAAAAAAAATCTGATTTTTTTGATTTTTTTTAAAAAAATCATTGATTTTTATCCACCCTGATCACAAGCCAGAAATGGTATAAACTCAATCCTGGACCCATAAGGGACCAGAAGGGTGACAGAATTAGATAGTTGAACTTTCATTCTGATTACCAAAAGTTCATTCGCTCAATGGAGTAAAATGACATTATTCACGTAAATGTTTCAAACTGGGTTCTGTTCTCACTCAGAAAAAATGTAAACAAGGTCAAGATTCTGGAAAAAGAGTTAGCTTCATTTCAAGACACAGCATGTGATAACCCACATTTGGAAAGTTTAATTTCTTAGCACATTGGCTATATTGTTTTGACTCGAAAAACCAATTTTGTGTGTGTGTCTCTCTCTCTCTGTGTGTGTGTGTGTGTGTGTGTGTGTGTGTGTGTGTGTATACTGACGCAATGTATTGTGTAAGTCAGACAGATAAGTTCCCATAAAACAGTAGGGCAAAAATTCAAATAAATCACATTATGTTTTAAAGTGATATGGGAACCTAGTTAGTAGTAGAAGAATACAGGACAGAAGTTCCCTTTTATATCATTTTCTGCCTGATCTTTTAGCTGAGATGGACTTTTAGATACGTTTCTACCAGTGGTGGGTTTCAAAATTGTTTACTACTGGTTCTGTGGATGTGGCTTGGTGGGCGTGGCATGGCTTGGTTGTAGTGGCAGGGGAATAATACTGCAAAATCTCCATTCCCACCCCACTCCAGGGAAAGGATACTGTAAAATCTCCATTCCCTCCTCACTCCAGGGGAAGGTTACTGCAAAATCCCCATTTCCTCCCGATTAGCTGGGACTCGGGAGACAGAGAATAGATGGGGATGGGGCCAGTCAGAATTTTTACTACCGATTCTCCGATTTTTGCTATTGGTTCTCCAGAACTGGTCAGAACCTGCTGAAACCCACCTCTGGTTTCTAGTAAGCTTTCCCCTTTATCCTTACAACATGGCAACTTCTGGCTATTATTCAGATTCTAAGCATTCCACTTCACAATAAGCACTTTACTGACCTACACAGAGGATGTTGAAGCTGAAACCTTGCACCACTGATTTGCTGACCAGTTGATCAGGAAGACTGTCAAATCCAACATGGCCTCCCATAGATAGGTTTCTTTTCTCTTCATTCTATTAAAAAGAATGACACCATTTTTGCAGGGGTTATCTGGTGGAAATTACATCATCATTATTCATCATCATCATCATATCAAAAACGTAATGAAAACCCATCAATTTTACTTGAAATGCAGCAAACTCCTAACTGGAGAAGCATCTCTCCAGATGGTCATTCAAAGAATGATCATGTTTTTATATGCCACATTCCAGACATACTATTAATTAAAGTCAAGCACCTGGGGAAAAAAGGGGTGCAGATTACAGAGAATTAAAGAGATTAAAGACTACTTTGTGCCACTTTGTTGAAAGGACAATTGCCTCCCAAGGATCTTATGTCAGACATGCATTGCTTCAGGAATTACTATTGGTAGCCATTAATAGCCTAATCCTTCATGAAGCTATCCAGTCCTCATTTAAAACCATTGAAGTTGGCTGACATTACAACTTCTGATAGCATAATTTATTCACATATGTTGTGAAATACAGTATTTCTACCTATCAGTCTTGTTGTTAATTTTTTTATTGATTAATCAGTAGTAGTTATTTTCTAAAATGTTCAAATCTGAATCATGTCACTTCAAAGAAATCTTTAATACATTTTCTCAGACTTTGCCATAAGAAACTATGTTCATAAGCAACATTTGCTTTATATCTGTGGGAATATTGCTGCAGGCAACTTCCAGATTGTTGTGCATCCAGCACACTCCCAATCAATCCTAATATCCATAGCAGAACAAGCATACATGCCATACAGCTCAGATAGCAAAATAACAGTACATAGTAATAGCAGAATAGAGATGGAAACAGTATACTAGGAGCCTTCCTCTATTCCATACCATTAAAGAAACAATTTGGTGGACAGGCTGAATGTATCCAACAATATTCACGATGACAATAGTGAATCATCTTATCTTGTCATCTGGAGCTATATCTATTTCCCTTCTTAAAGCAATATCTTGGTTCTGTTCTCATCTCTTTCTCATTCCCTTCCATCTGTTCTTTTTCTCTCAGCATGGAGAAATAAACTGACATTTTCCCAGATGATTAGTTTATTAGATGGCTAAAAAGTATTTTGACTTTAAGCCATGTATAAATCACAAAATCAGAAAGGATCAAACAGTAGCATTAAGAGCAGGATAACTCCTGTATTTCATAGCGTATTTTACTGCAAGTTGTCACATAACATTTAAGCTGAATAATTCCACCAGCTGCTCAACCAAGAAAGCGCAAATGCGTTAAGTTAGGATCTTCAGCAAAATTGGTCTTAATATAAACAGACTGTACATGTTTGTAAGGCACATCTGCAGGGACCATTTACTTATGTGAATATCAGACATATTAGATGATGGAAAATTTGTCTCTATATAAAATTTTGCTAAAACCTAAATATATACCAAGAGACATCCTATCTATATATGACATCCCATATAATGTTATTCTGGCATAAACATGTGTAGCTCTTTCCTAACCATTAGTACAGTATGTTTATACAGTAAAACTAAAGAGCAGAGTGCTGGAAAGATATAAAGGGTGCATGAAAGAGAGTCTGTAGTGAAGATAAAAACAACTCTTGGCAACTATCAATAGTTCTGATTTGTGTATCTGCTGCTTTTCTACAATTACAGTGTGTGCAACATACAAGAGATTCTTTTGCACTGAAGCAAACCCTGTCTGGACCAGAATTTCTCCAACACATATGGAGAAGAAAGAAGAGAAATATAGGTGATAAGATTAAAGGCTAAACCACAGTCAAGCCTCTTTCTATGTTTAAGTGTACAGGAAAGCCAAGAGGAAACACATCTGTTAAAAAGTTTTAAAGTTTTAAAAAGTTAGTGAAAATTAGAAAGACTAGTGTTGAGTCTTAGTCCATTGCTGCAACTTGCATGAGGCACTCCTATGTATAACATACCCCATACGCCCATTAGCAAGACGGCTATAATAGATGTGAGCTGGATTTTGTAGCTGTCTAATAGTATTTCTTTGTTGATTTTCAGAACATAAGCACTAAGTAGGAACAATGGAAGCTGGATTTTGTAATGTGTACTTTGGTAATCCTGGTAGTATGAAAGAATGAACTTATTTCATGATTTACCAGGTCTTTTCTTTCTGGTCATCTGGAAACCCTTCCTTCCACACCACAGGAAATCAGATAAGTTACTTTTTTCAAGACTACCTCTACTATCCAGACTGTGAACATTATATTTATGAATGTTCATAGAAGTACTGTATATAAAATACAGTATATTTCGACTAACAAATGCTGTCCTATGGGTTAGGAACTCTTCAACCTCACTTTGTTTAATGTGTAAATGAGACAATATTATGAACAATAAAAAAAACAAAACAAGAAATAGGCAAAGGTTCTGTCATCTCCACAGTCTGAAAAGGAAGTAAACAAGCCTTTGCCAAAGTGCTATGATTAGAATATGAATGCGCCAAAAGACCAGAGAGATGTTCCTAGGCAACAGCCAGAATCTGTGCTAGGCAGGTTTCGGGGGGAGATCTCTCTCACTGCTAAACCTGAAGTCTCAAACTCAGATCATCTGGAAAGGGAAGAAGGAAGTGTGCCTTTGGGGGAATGATTTGTTCAATTTCTAGTTGACCACCCAATCCTTTTCAGCTTTTCCCCCTCCTGATATTGATATATTTATTTCAAAATAATATTATTTTCTAACATTCGTATTCCCAATGTGGAAAATCAGTGATTTGGCTATAAGAACTTATTGATATATTTTAGTGCAAATATTTTGTCCACCACATGGAGCGTGTTAAGAGAATAAACAAGACTCTACCTTTTGGAATTGCGGTGAATCAATACAATCTTAAATCTTGACTACTTTAATATACGACGAAGTAAGAAAATAGAAATATATATATATATATATAATACATTTATATATGTGTATGTATATTTATATTCTACTGCATTCTGTATAAACAAGTCCCATATTTTATTATACTTGTCCCTAAAAGCTATGGCTACAGACAATCTGCTCGTAAGTGGTGAGTGCAATTGGGTCTTCAATCCATTGAATAAATGGACCATGCATTTATTTTCCATTGCTGCAAATATCAGTCTTTTAGCTGCAGAGCTTTTCAAAGCTTGGAAAGAGATCTGTCACAGTGAATGACAGGAGCACATCCTTTACAAAGAGAGCACTTTTCTCCTTAAACGCTATCATGGACCACACAGAAACAGAGAAGCTCTTTAGAATGCTGACCATAAACTATTTAATAATGAACAAGTCAAAGGCTCATCTGCCCCAATGTCAACAATATACAAGCTGAGAGTCCAAGGTCAAATGGGGACTCTGTGGGCCCTCCAATAATTGCAAGCAAATTGATATTTTAACCTATAGAAAACATGGGTAGCAATCATATGAAAAGCATTCATTCCATTTAATATAATTCTGAGTCACTGTAATTTTAAATAAATTAGATTTTTATACTGCTCCAACTATATTTGGGAGAATGACCTGTATTACATTATCCAAATAGTTAACCATCTTTTGGCCCTGGGTCAAAAATGAACTACTGTATACAAAGAGCAGCAGCTTACAAATGAGACTAAAGTAGGTTTGTTAGTAACTTAGTTTGTTAGTTTATGCAATTGTCCTAAGAATAAATTCCTTCTTGCAAGGTTTAGGAAGAGGAGATCAGGGTTGAATATCGTCAAGTGATGTCTCACTATGCCAAACTGTAGTCAAATCCAGCTTGGATGAGAGGGGTCTGTCACAATGGTTATCAAAATCGACAGAACTTCACTAATAACTGTCAAGTGCCAGGTAAATCAGAAGATCGAGGCAGTTCAAATGGGTATAAAGATTTATTGCAAGCTTAAGCTACAAGGATATGAACTACTAACTGCCAAAGCAAATTGGCGGTTGAAAAGAGTCAAAGGAATTCAAGGTGGGCTGGACTTAGATCGCTTATGGACATGAAGGGACTCGTGACTGATGACGTATTTGACCCCTCCCTCAGGCTCAACCAGGTTATCTCCTACAGTAACAATGCATTTCTAGATGTATTAAAAAATAAGTTCCATTTACTTCTCTGATGGTCAAGTGAGAATAGGAATTGCTGAAGAGAATGGACACAAAAAGGAAGGAAACCAAGATTATCCCAAAAGCTTGCTCTACTCAACCCACATCCATCCACATCGTGATCCCACCAAATGCTACGAGAAAAGGATCTAAGAATTTGTGTTTGTTTGTAAAACTATACAGTAAGAATAGTTTATATTGCTTGTAAGCTACTTTGGAAGATTTGTTAGATTTGAAATTTGAAGGGTAGAATATAAACACTTATAATCTGTTAATTAATGAAGAGGTCTTGTCTTTATTGTTGTACTTTGAAAGAAAAGCTTTTGATTTATTTCAAGTATCACAGCAAGCTACATTTGGAAGGCAAAACGTTTTAAAGCAGTTTTCGATCTTGCAAGGAAGAGCAAATGTTCAAACAAAAACAACAAGTCCACTCTGAAATCAAAGGCTCAGATCATGGTCTGAATATGTACAGATGAATATTCCAAAGCCAAGTGGTCAGTTTTGTCCGTGAAAATAGCTGGAAAACTGAGTAAGTGAAACTATATTTAGATGCTTCACAATAGTTCTATATTCGGAATCCTTCTTGCCTGTTGCCAAAGCAGCTGTGAAGTTGACAAAGGCTGAGGGTTAAAAGAGAAAGGTTTTTATTATTATTTCTACCACTAAAACAAGAATATAAATTTGGATCAATTTATTGGTTACTCCACAGATTAACATTAACATTTTAATTATAGGTAGTACTTGATTTATTATCACAATTGGGACCAAAATCTCAATTGTTGAATGAAGTGATAGTTAAGTGAGATACTCACATGACCAGTTTGCTCAAATGATCACAACCCCAGTTCTCCCAGTTGTAGTTGTTATGTGTGGGTCATTAAGGGGACAGAGCGAAAGACCACGCACAGAAGGAAAGTCCTGTGGAGGGCTGCACAAATGAAGCTCGGATCTTCAGGTAAGGATATTAAGTGAACAAAAGGATGGGAGTTTTAGGCTTTGAACTACAAGCCAGTTAACCAATCATACTCCCTTCCCCAAATAATTGTGGATATGCTGCTTTAGCAAAACCACATTAAGTTATAAAGAATCTGTTCCTAATGTCCTCCTTTCCTGTCTTGTCATCCAGCATGATCTATTATGCTTGGAATAATTGAATTGGCCTTTAATTTGTTATCAGGGGGACTCTTTAATTCAATGAAAGAGTACTAAGGTAAGAGGCCTCCAAATACATTGGAGGCAGGAAAAACCCAAACTTAACTCATCTTTTCATCATTAATTACATGACAGAAATAACAGTCTAATGAAAGTCAAACATCAGGTAGGGGTATAAACCCTAAAATAGAAACCATGTGGAGTTTTTGGTTTATTTAAAAAAAAACAGGAAATATAAAAAGCATTAAAAATTGGCAATTATACATATTAAATGTTCCCTTTCTCTTTCCATCATTTCCTGCACTTTACATTTATGTAAGTAATTACGTTTGATGGAGTTGCATCCTGCTTTTCCTTCGGGGGCTCCAAGATGCTTCTTCTTCTTGGTTTTTTTCTTCCACAGCAAAAAATAGTAAGTGGTTTCTACTCATCTAAAACTGGGCTGTTCCCAGAGGTAAACAAAAGAAACCACATGGTTTCTTAGATATTCAGTTTATTTAGAAACATTTTTATAAAAAAAATTAAAGTGTCTGCTTTTGCACTGCTATATAATCCTGTTTCTAAAAACAATCCTATATTTTCAAAAGTAATCATTCAAAATAAAAATTAAACGATGTTGCTGTAGAGGAGATGGGTTATGGAGTTCATTACTCAATGCACAGATTGTGAGAAAGCTGGCACTAACCCTGAATTAGTCTGAAATAGGTGGTGTACATTTGGATTCAATTTACATAGTTTAGGGCCAAGATGGCAAACCTATGGCACACGTGCCACAGGAGGCACACGGAGCCATATCTGTGGGCACGTAAGCATTGCTCTAGCTCAGCTCCAGCGCGCATGCGTGCACCGGCCAGCTAATTTTCTAGCCTTCTGGGCTGACCGGAAGTCAGGAAATTAACCGTTTCCAGGTTCCGGAGGACCTCCGGTTGGGTGGGGAAGGCTGTTTTTGCCCTCCCCAGGTTCCAAGAAAGCTTCTGGAGCCTGGGGAGGGCAAAAAATGGGCCTACTGGGCCCACCGTGCCATTGCGTGCCAAAAGTGGGAGGAGTGCGGGGGGGTTCGCATGTGCGTGCGTGGGGCTGGGTGGGGCACATTGCATTATACGTGTGGGTACACGCACATGCTTTTGACACGCAACAGCAAAAAGGTTAGCCATCACTGGTTTAGAGCATATCTGTCCAAAACAAAGAGTTTGTTCACTTGGAGGACATGCACATTCCTGCATCCCGTATCATTCATCCTGTAAATTTGAGCAGCTCATAAAATAGCTTAAGAAAGTGTATTTTTTTTTCTATTATTATCTGGAAATAAATACAGTGAAAATTGTCTATAGCTATATCAAATTTAGTTTGGTCATAAACTATAGCCCATAGGATGCTCAACAGCCTTCTAATAATACTTCAAAAAAAGAGTCAAAAATGCCTAATTAGTGGCTTCTGGTGCAGGAATGATTTCTAATACAACATAAGAAGGGGAAAGCAGAAATGCAAGCAACATATATTTTCCTTCTTAAAAAAAATCTCATTTCAGCAGTGCTGCAGGCTGAGAAGCTAGGGTGCCTTTTCACGTCCACTGAGTGGACATTAGTCAGGCTTGCTGGAGATGAAGTGGGGCACGTGGAGTATTTTGGGTACCCAACTGGACTCAAGGCCCTTTGTCACATTGCCCTGGGCTTGCTAAATGAAGCCTGTTGAGTATGGTTGTTAGGCATATCAACTCACACAAACAACCAAGCAGTAAAAACACAGCATAAACAAAGAGAAAACAACACCCCCAACTCTGGTAGGACAAGATACTGTATATCTGGAGACCTCAAACTACAGCCACGGGCTGGATATGGCCCGCCGAAGCCATTAATCCAGCCTGTTCGGGACCATGAGGCTGCCCCACCCACATCACCCCCCCTATCCACCAAACTCCTAGAGGCCAAGGTCAAAAACGGGACACGTGGATGCCTCAGGAGGCAAAAAAGGGCCCATTTCTGGGTGGCAGAGTGGTACTGGAGTGGTACTGTTATCCTCCCTAGCCTCCAGAGAGAAAGACAGGGAGGGAAGGAGAGAGAGAGACACACACACAGGGGGGAGGGAGGGAGAGAGAGGGGAAGGGAGGGAGGGAGACACACACACACACAAACAGAAATCCCTCCCCACCCCCCAAGGCAGCCACATCCCTTTACTAACCTGCTTTCCATTTAAAAAGTTTGAGGACCCCTGCTGTATATAAACAAACAATAAACCTTACTCTTTCGTAGCACTGAAGATGTCACCTAGTTGGGTAACAAAATGTCTGCAAGAAAACAACCAAGCTTGGAGAGCAGCCAGGATTCTGCAGTTCAACCCTAAACTGCATATATTCTCTTCTACTAAGACATTATACTATTGCAGCTCCTGTGTTGGGATGCTGTTATTCTATCTGCTCTATGTAAGAATTATCTATCAGAGAGAAACTGATCTGAACGTCTGATTAGTTTTACTGATTTATTCTGTCACATCTTTAGACTTGCTAAAAACAAAAAAACATTTTCAGAGGGGTTGTTCCCTTTCAGAGAAACCCATCATGAAATGTCCAAGAATAAGCTTTCAAGCTATAAAGTACAAACTGTAAAAACTGATATTTAGTATATCTGTGCAATGCTACATGTTTAAGTTGGAAAAAGTACCTTGAAAGATGTGGTATGAGCACACAAATGCAGAACCAGTTTGTGGCTCGTTAAAGCAACTTCATTTGCTCCAAATGAAGCTGTTTTAATGAATCACAGGTAGGCATTATATTTGCATTTGTGCAAAATTCCAGTGCAATTCTTCCAAATGGAATCCAAAGCATTGGAATGGGCTTCAAACCAAGATAATATAGTCTCTTACAACAATGCAGTAAGTAAAAATGACCTATTTCATCAGGAAATTGGTAAATGTATCTTCAGCAGTTACCAATCTTGGAGATGTAATCAAATCCGCAGATTACCTCACAGTTCTTGATTATGGCATCTTAAATATTTTTCTGTAAATTCAGGCTGTAAACTATTATATAATTTTATGCTCAAACTGTACTGTTTCTGCCATTTCACAGACCATACGAACATTAGGAGATTGGCTGTATTATTTGAAATTATCCAGTGCTGCATTACTATGCAGAGATAAGCAATTTGGTCTTATGTGACAGATAAATCATCAAGTGAAATTAGGAAGGGCCCATCATACTACGGGAAACGGAAGTATTTCAAATTATATTTTTATGAAAGACACATTCCTTAGCTTTCAAGGTGATAGCAATTAATTGTGCATTCAAATTAGAAAATTTAGAGCACTCTATAGGATCCATTGATTACTTTAAAAATAAACCAACAGAAAACAGTCTCTGACCTGGTTAAAGGCTGCCAATTACTTGGAGGCTGAATCCACAGTATAAATCTATTGGCATGAATGCTTATTTCAATTTCAGAAAACCCTGGCAGCACATAAGCAACAATTTCGGAAAGAGGGTCAAGGCTTTGAAAAGCTGATGCCCATGAGAAAACAGTTGCTTTCTTGCAGACCTTTGATTACCAAACTAAGTAACATCATCAGTGCTAAAAGAGAGGGATTTGCTTTCATTTTATATACTAGTGATCACATTGGAACAGCTTCCTACCCTATCCTATTGGCTTTTCACAAGACCTGGTTCTTCTTTTAGGCATTGGGATCTGGATATTAGCATGGCAGTTCTAGTGATTTCATTTTTTTATTGAGCCTCAGTGCCGCTTTAGTTGGGTTCTTTTTTTAATGAAATTATCTGTTTTTAATTTTTTTGCTGCTCCAAATTTCTGGATTAGGTGGGTGGCTATATAAATTGGATGGATGGATGGGTGGATGGGTGGATAGATACATGTATATGAAAAGGAGTCTAACCCTTTTTAGTTTATGGGTACAGATTTTCAAAACTGAAAGCATCACAGAGTAACGTATGCACTGAGCAAAGAAAAACACGAGCATCACAGAAGAGATGTAAGTATACATAACAGACAAAATATCAGCTAGGAATGACTGCTGCATACAGCTCCTATAAAGTTTTGGGGTGTTTATTTTTATTTAATTTTTACAGCGGCTCATTTCAACAAGTGTCTCTGGACACATACATCCTTAAAACAAGCTATTATTCATTTATTCAACTAAATAGTTGAATAAATACTATACTAAATAGTGATGGCCATGCAGTCCACTGCTCCTTTTATATTTCTCAATTGGCAAACTGCTCAATGCTCAATTCCAAAGTTATCATCATATTTATTCAACAGCTAAAACACAAGGGAGCATTGCAGATACATTCAACTCCCAATGTCTGAAGCTTTTTACATATGAACATTTTTAGTAAGTAGTCACACTTCCTTCAGGCCTTATCCCACCTCCATCTTCTCATCCATCCACATTTGTCTAATGTTGGTTGGTCAAATATTTGAGGCTTTCCAGAACACCAACAGAAAAAGCAGTTCTGTCTAGTCTGTGCTGCTTTCTGTCAATGCAGAAAATGTGACCTCAGCAACTCCCATCAGCTGTAATCCACCTATTAAATGCAGACTTGTTAGCTAAAGTTGACTTTGCAATGACTTATTCTTAATGATTAACTGCAGGCAGAAAATCTGGCAGTTTTTTAAAAGGTGCAACGATATTGCACCAAACACTGACCAGTTCTAGTTTTTCCAGATATAATAAAACCACCTCAAGGGCTAAAATGTTTTATATGTGAAACCAAATGGTAAAATTAGTTGTGGAACAAATCATACATCACACATTTTTGCTGTTGTTGCTGTTTTGCGTATTGGAGGAAGAATGCTTCCCTTCAGCAATCTAAAATAGTCAAAGAGAAATCCTCATCTCTTTATTTAGGAATAATTCACTATTTCAAATGGTAAGTACCACAGATTCTTTTACCAAGTCAAGGAAAACTGAGGCTTCAATTCAATTCAAAACAGAACTGGAAAATACCTTGAAGATCTTCTAGTCCAACCCCTTGCTTAAGCAGGGTACCCTGTACCATTTCAGACAAGTGGCTGCCCAGTCTCTTCTTAAAAACCTCCAATGATGAAGCGCTCACAACTTCTGAAGGCAAGCTGTTCCACTGGTTAATTGTCCTCACGCTTAGGAAGTTTCTCCTTAATTCCAGTTGCTTCATTTCCACTTAGTTCATAAACAAAATATTCTTGCACCTAACCAAACAGGTATCTATCACAAATTATAATGATAGAATAAAGCCACCAAAAATTCTGTTCAAACAGCTACCCTGTTTCCCCCAAAATAAGATCCCCTGATAATAAGCCCAATCGGGCTTTTGAATGCATGGTAATAAGGCCAAGCGCTTATTTCAGGGTTCAAAAAAAAATATAAGACAGGGTCTTATTTTCAGGGAAACACAGTACGTCGCTAATAACAAGTAAAAAATTACTTCCAAAAAGCAAATAATCCAGATGGCA